TTTGAGGAGTTGCAACAGCAAAGATCATATCAGCCCTCGTGTTTAATTTTTTTTTAAAGCCCATTTGTGCTTTAGACCGTTGAAAAAGAGCGAGTGGCAAGCGAGCATCCTTCAACATTTTGACCCTTTTAACACCCGACTTTCTAAGGTGTAATTCGCTTCTCCGAAATAAAAGAAGAAACGCGCAAGGCACTACCTCGCAGAGTGAGATAGGTATGCTAGGTCTAGATTTGAAATCTTTGAAGGAGAGGACATCACCAAATCACTCCCCGAGATAAAATGGTTCAAAATCTTGGGGTTTGTGAACAAGTCCAAGAGATTTATGCAGGACACGTGAGCCGACCAAGTCCCGGACCGTTTAGGGATGGGGTACGAGTCTACCCAGACATTTTACCCCTCAGGTCTTGGTCGCCCACCCTGCATAATATATATATATATATATATATATATATATATATATAAGGTGTAATTCAAGCAGTTTAGCGAGAATGAGGGAGGAAATTTTCATCGTACATTGTGTTTGAGAAAGGGGGACGAATAGTAGAATAAAATTCAGGTGATCTTCTTTAGAGGTCATATGAAGCAAAAAAACACCCAGCTTTTTTGGGCTGTGCCGAGCTTATGGTGATTTATTCCATCATCATCAAGGCCTGTTTATGGTATAAACCCACCGAATGCTCGGCACAGCGCAAAACGTTATTGCTTGATATGACCTCTAAAGATTTTATCATCCAAACTTAACTTACTTCAGGTCGATAAACATCCAAAACAAGAATACAATCATTAAAAATATTATTACCATTGTAATGTGTTAAATTCACTAGTTTTCGTTGTCCGCTTGACCAATTAATATCATTCGATTAATTAAGCATTTAAGTTGAGATAAAAAAGTCAGTGTCACGAGCGGGATTCGAACCCGCGACCTTCGGCTTGATACGCCGCTACTCTACCACTCGAGCTATCGTGACCTCGATCCATTCGGGCACTAACGGTCCCATCTCCACCCCACCCGTTGAATTTGAAAAATGGCAAAAAGGAGGGAAAATTCAAGGGGGGGTTGAGATGGGGAGTTGATGTCCGAGTGGATCGAGGTCACGATAGCTCGAGTGGTAGAGTAGCGGCGTATCAAGCCGAAGGTCGTGGGTTCGAATCCCGCTCGTGGCATTGACTTCTTTATCTCAACTAAAACCCTTAATTGATTGAGTAATGTGTTAACTTTACAAGGCTGTCACGTAAATTGAGAATCAACAATCACAATAAATAAAAAAATGTATTCGTAAGATAAAAGTTTAAAAACAATATGTTTATTGCTTATTTGTTTTCCTTTCCATTGGACTCGCCCTTGGCTCAGTGTCTTTAATGACTTATTTTTTATTATCATTATTTTTAAGGATTTTTTAAAATTTAATTATTTCAACAAAATGTATGCTTTCTCTTAGAGTTTTTAATCCAAAATGATTATAAAAGCTAAAATCATACAAACATGTCCAGAGTTGAGCTTATTACTTCTTCCAGTCCACCGGTAATTCCGGCTTTTCTAGTTTACAATTATAAGGCGCCGAGAAAAAAAACCAAGGGTCCAGGTGCTACCCACATCTAGGTCTATTCAACACCCGATGCATTCAGTTCCTAGATCCAAACCCATTCGCACTCTCATTCACTCTTAAATAGATGTCCTATTTACATACCATTCGGTCAATTGGTGGTGGAGTACTCGATATTCCTCCATCACCGTTTACACGTAACACCGATTTGAGGTCGATGTGGTACTCTCGGCCATCTCGCGCTATACACTCACGCTAATAAATACATTAAATCTTAACACATATTCATTAAAGCAAACCTGCCTCCGAGAATCGCAACAGGGCGAATATATAATACTCACAGGCACAATTTATATATACGGGCTGGCATACGCGCTCTCTATACGGAGCCAGGGAATTCCACCCTTTAGTTAAGCTCAAAAGTGCCCTCGTGCTTCGCATGGCCTATTCTTAATCGGGTAAGGATGACACTTCTACGAGTCCAGATCCTCCTTGTTGATATTCATATTCTGTTTTAGTAAAATAGAATATTATTATTCAATTAATTAAGGTTTTTAGTTGAGATAAAAAAGTCAGTGTCACGAGCGGGATTCGAACCCACGACCTTCGGCTTGATACGCCGCTACTCTACCATTTGACCTGTCGTGACTTTGATCCACTCGGGCACTAACTTCCCATCTCAACTCCATCTTTTTGAATTTTCCCTCTTTTTTGCCATTTTTCAACTAAAACTCAATTTTTTTATCTCAACTAAAAACCTGAATTAATTGAATGATATTAATTGGTCAAGCGGACCACGAAAAATAGTGAATTTAATAGAATTTTTTTTATTTATTTATGTACAAGTTTATTTATTTTTTAAGGCTTCTCTCGCAAGTAATGTGACTAGAAATAAATTAGATAATAATAGTAGATAAGTTTTTGTATTTTAGAATTTCTCTGACCCACTCGCTCTCTGTTACACTTGTTATCTCTATTTTTCTTGTGAACCGTCAAAATCCAAGTTTTTGAATTCTGTTAGCTAGCCTTTATGATTTTTTTTTTTTTTTTTTTTTTTTGTTTTTTTTTTTTTTTTTTTTTTTTTTGGGGGGGGGGGATCGGACAGCTTGATCATTTTAGCCCCGAGCGCATGCGAAATAAAACAACAGACACCCAATACGAACTCACACAAACAAATACTTTTTTTTTCTTTTTTTTATGCGGGTTCGCAACAGCAGAAGTCATATCAACCCTCTGGGTGCCGGTGTTTTTGAAAAAAAGCCCATTTGTAAGTATGTCGGGTTCGAATGCAGGGCCGCTGAATTCGAACCCGGGACCTTTACCTTACAGTGATGAGCGCCGTGCCAACGCCTAAACCGTTGCGCCCACCGACGCTCCCATTTATTATTATTAATTTTTAAGGTCATTTCATCCCTAACATTTAAACCTTCTTAGGTTAGCTAAGAAATAAAGCGCTACGAAGTTCTGACTCCAAACATTCACTCATAAACTAATCTATCCAATTGCCATCCGAAGCCATCATTTTAAAATAATTAATTTGGAAGGCCAAATGTATGCAAAAACACATTTTAAATTATAAAATTTATTCCCGTCCTTTAATTATAATTTCGAATTTTTGTTACGTAATTTAAACGTTTCCCATAGGCTTGTATAGCCAACAACCATAATAATAATAATAATAATAATAATGGAGACAGACTAGCAACAGTCTCAGCATGAGTATAGTATCATCGTTATCCTTTTATTTTTCTATACTATAAATAAAAAATGCTACTTAATAATAAAACAAGCACAATAACACTTCTTTTCCTTTACCCACTTTTTTTTTTTTTTTAAGTTGATAAAGGAAAAGAAGTGTTATTGTGTTTTTAAGTAGCATTAGCATTCATGCTAAGACTGTTGCTAGTCTGACTCCATTATTATTATTATTATTATTGGCTACTCAAGCAATAAAAAAATCATTTTTATAGGATCTACCTTTCTGTATTTAAATTGAGATTTTGGTCAATGTAGTTTATTACCCCGCAATTTGTATTTTCTTTTGTTATTTTATTGTTATGTTATTATCTGTTATATTGTTATGTTCTTGTTATTTTATTTTGACAATCGGCCAAAATATGTTTTACAGTCAGTACGATACGTTCTCCACTTCGAATACATCGAGGACAAGTTGGAAGGTTGTTGCCTGTTTGTTTATTTATTTGTACTTAGTTCATTCTCAATTTTCACATGTGCGGATTGTTTTAAAATCGTACGGGTCCGCATCTACGAGTCTCGTTATCTGTGAGTGTGTGGTTTCCTATTTCATTGTACCTTCCTTTCTCTGTCTACCTTTCTCTCTTCGTTTGTTTTATGCGTTTCTTAGTCTTCTTTCTTTTTATCGATTGTTTTATTTTTGAAATGGGTTGTTCTCATTGTGCATCCTACCGAATGGCGCGTTTGTGACGTTAATTTTGTCACGTTATCCCAACTAATTTTCTAATGAATTGTCTTTCTTTTATCTTCATTGTTTTCTTTAAATTTTGTTTTCCTTATTAACAAGTTCTTACTTTTTCCTTTAATAGTAAAAAAAAAATTAAAAAAGGCACTATTGCTTCTTTATATTACCCAGCGACCTCCGGCAGACGGATTTTCTTTTTCCATGCTTTATTATACTTTGTTTTTCTTATTTAATTGTGTTTAATTATTATGTACTATACAAATAATAAATTATATTTTTTAATTTTATTTTTTAAGGGCATCCGACAGCTTGGACATTTCAGCCCCGAGCGCATGCGAAATATTACAATACTGATTCAATACGCATTCACGCAAATAAATACATTCACACATTGCAAATAAATACATTGCATTCTATTTGGTAGATGGAGTTCTCAATATTCCTCCATCGACCCAAATCACGTACACAGATCGAGGGGCGATTAGAATCCTATTCTACTATCAGGCCCCTCCCCATTCACTCTAATAAATACACTCACTCATACGACACATAATTTGACGGGTATATAATAAAAAATTCCCAATTCAACTAAAAAGCGGAACAGGGGACCCTGAAACTACCGAGTCCGAGAAGCATTCTTAAATCCGACGGCAAGCCTGCTCGCTCTCTGTATGGCACACACCGAGCAACTTTTCTTTGCATAAGGGGCACCTTATTATTATTATTATTAATTCACGTGTTGTGTTTTTACTTTATGTATGACCAATTGGTGTTCATTGAGCTCGCGCCTTAACATCGGGCAGCCTGTAAAACATTGGCCGTGTTCACATTTTGAAAACGGTGCTGTGTGATATCGTATAGTACAAAAAGTGCTGTTGGAATGTTGGATTATTGTGTGAATCTAGTATCCATTAATAAAAGGCAATTGTTCGAAAATGTCGAGTTAACTGAATATAAACGCAGGAAGAAGGCAACTTATTTCACTCAAGGAGGTCCCGGGACGGGAATGGGCTCACCTTCGTCGTATTCCATGTCGTTGGGGGCAGCTGGTGGCTCCCGCGGGACGTCTGCTCGCTCTCCCGGCACCGCCTCGGGGGGAGAATTTCCACCGGGTCTTTTCCCGTGTCCGCTTCCGCTTCCAGGCCCGAATCCTCCGTCTTGGGACGCACGCTTCCGCTTCTTAGCAATTGTCCGATATTGTACGTTTGTTGTTGTCGGGTTTTTTCCTTGCGAATTTTTTTTTCTCCACTTTTTTTCTTTTTCTTTTCCCGTCCACTGGGAGGCGCAGGAGGCACGAGGAGGAGAGGCGAAGGACTGGGGCCGGGAACCGGCGGCCGGGCCGGGCGGGGGTCGGCCGCGAGTGGGGGCCGACACCCACTGCCAGGACGAACGTGCGACCATTCGCTTCCTAGCACTCAAAACAATAACAACAACAAAAATAAAAAAAACAACGAAAATTATTTCCACTTCCAACACAATATTTAAATGTGCATATTATTATTTTTTTATTTATTGTTAGAATTACGAGACCTCCTAGGAGGCCTCTAGCCTCTCCCTAATGGATCAGGGGGAGTCACTCACCTCGGTGCCTGAGCGACTCTGAGGTTGGGCTCTGATCGTGCGCCATGACTTCTTTGGTCATTTCGGCGCCCTTCCGTTCCCTAAAACTAGTCATTCTCACACCCACTCACACAAGAAATACATACATACTCCTATATACAAACCCAATCCCACATGCATATCCTCTGTCTAGAATCCGGGTCGGAGGGTATTCGTTATACCACCCCGACCCGGCTTGGCGGAGCAGCGGTGGAGCCTTGCACCGCCGCCCAGCATACCCCTAATCTAACATAAACTTAACCTAAACTTTAACCTATGAAATAAATACCCCACCCTTTATGCCAATATCTCTCAAAAACCTAAAAAGTTTTTCTTTAAGCCCGCTGCCATGCCCGAGCATTCTCCTATAGTCCGGAAGTATTCCATTTCGGTCCCTATTAAACGTTGATCTGTTATCTTGGCATGCTTGGCTCCTGGGTCGACTAGCGCCGACCAACAGGTACCCACGAGTCGCACGTGTGCGACCGATCCGCAGGCGGGTCATGACGCTTTCCCGTTGGGGTATCCCCTCCGGGCTTTTATTTATTATTATTTTTTATAATGTTTTATATTCTTTAATATGGTTAGGGCTATGCTGAGACATGCTCCTGCCAATTTTTCTCTACACTGTGAAACTTCACTTCGACTACATATTAAGAATTTTATCCCGACCAGACAATAGACTCTCGAAGATCCTAGCCAAGCAGATTGTTGATAAAGAAATGTATTGGTTTAAGGAAATAAAAAGGCATATCATGCAATTTAATTTGGACTTGTCCTTAGACCGGAACAATATCGACAGAATTAAATTCACTAATTTCGTTGTCCGCTTGATCAATTAAACATTACAATTAATTAAGGTTTTTAGTTGAGATGAAAAAAAGTTAATGGCACGAGAGGGATTCGAACCCACGCCCTTCGGCTTGATACGCCGCTGCTCTACCACCTGAGCTATCTTGACCTCGATCCACTCGGACATCAACTCCCCATCTCAACCCCACCTTATGAGTTTTCCCTCCTTTTGCCATTTTTNTATATATATATATATTAAACAATAAAGACATATAGTAGTAGTAGTATATGTTGAACCGGCACACGGGCACTACTGGGTCTGTCTTCACTCGCGGGTTTTTTGTTTGAGTTATTCAAACGCGTTTCGGCATTACGCCATCTTCAGTGAAAAACTGTCTGTCATTCAGTCTGAGTGGGGTTTATATATTGTTGCGTCCGTCACTTGTCGCTGGGGGCGTTGAGTTAGGGGGCGTGGTCTCCGTGCTCGTTGGTCGGTCTTGGTGGCGGTTATTTTCATTGTCAGTTATTATTTGTGCGTTGTCGGTTTTTTGTTTTTTCCTGGTGTTGGTTGCGATGTTTTGTTGAAATTTATTTACAAAAGAATTAACTCTATTATATTTCAAACATCTTACCAGTCTATCAATTTGGTTAATCCATCATTACTCATCAATTTCACAGTGTCACAGATTTCGTTACTTCATGTCTCGAGCAGAAACTGTACGCGACTGGACTGTTTCTAGTTGTTTTTCCGGCCTTCGACAAAGTACGGCATTAGGGATTATTTTACAAATTAAAATTATTTTTACCCCAGGCCTAATATACAAGTACAAGCATACCTTAAGGAGAGATTTTTCGCAGTAAACCAGAGTATGGAGACTTCTGAGATGGAAGAAGTGCTTGCAGGTGTGTCACAAGGGTCAGATGTTCCCATCTTTACCCATGGGTGTTGAAACCCATGAGGATCTTTAACGTCCGGACTTATCCCCAAGGGGACTTCTCAGACGCCTAGTGTTCTCGAAAGAACTCCAGAAAGATTTTACATGCATGGACTTGCCACATCCCTTTGCTAGCGAAGGTGGTGCAATACTGACCAAGTTCAGAAGTGCCCTCAAAAGGGCACATCCAACATGTGCCTTGAAAAAGGCAGTTTTGTGGTTTCCAACACAGCCATGCCTTTCACCACCCCCGGAGAGATACAGAAGGCACTATATCCCCGGCTCCGGTTGGCCGGTACCCTCCAGCAATTGTTTACAAACCACCACGAGTCCAAGCTCAATTAGTAGAGCCGCTTGGATACTCCACTCCCGTGGTTCAGTATTATTTTAAGGTGGGACTGATCGCCCACCCAGGAGGTCATACGAACTCCCTACTGATGCCTGAGGGGTGCGGGTTCAGTATCCCCAAAGCAGAGGGGGGAGAGGGAGGGAAAAGGAAAGGGGTAGGAAGGATAAGGAAGGTAATAGGGATATTGCCTCCATCATTGGTTACCCCCAGGCACCAGGGTTGATGGTCGGACTTTGCCTGGGCCCACAGGGAAGATGTCCCTGTGGGTAGTGTCAACCGCAATCAAAATTACCATTAAAATCAAACCTTTCGACCTACACATACCTACTCAAACCTATTTGGATGTACGGGTGCTTCGACCAAATATTCCAACATTCAAAGATTGCAAATTTTTCAATACAAAATTTTAATACTAATAGTTTCTGCCCCTTTTTACGTAAACAATAACACACTTCACAGAGATCTTCACACGCCAACAATTTTTACATCCATCAAAACATATTACAGACGTTTTCATAGTAAATTACAAAATCACACTAACACACAAATACGTCTACTCCATTTCCCACGATTACCACTAAACGTCTGAAAAGAACATGGATAAGAGACCTCTTAAATGATTTAATATCATTTTATTAATCCAGAGCGGCTACCAATTTCCACCCAACCATGCAAGGTAGTATATGCTATGTCCTTGTATGGAGTTGTGTGGCTAATGTGTACATATATTTGTATTAATTTTTTTTATATTGTTAATATTTTTTTTATTAAAGATGACACTGAACTAACTAAATAATTAAATGTTAGGTCAAACACAGGATTTTATATGTGTATAAAATGAATTACAATTTCTCATATTGAGCCTAGGAACATTGAAGTTTTTACATTCCAACAATTTAGGACTATCGAACATGCCATTTACTAATTTATTCAAAACATATCACATCTAGATACATTCTTCTGTTTTCGAGTGGCAGCAGACCCATTTTCTATAAGTGATGAATGGTGGAGTGAGTGCGGTGTTCGATCCTTTTTTAAAAAGATGGTTCCTATTCACAGTAATTACTTCTTACATTTCTTACTGTGATTATGAACTATCTTTTTAAAAGGGATTGACCCATTTTCTTTCGAATTGGGGTGAATTCGTGCGGGTTTATAACAAATTTGATTTTATAAGATGTATAGCGAAGGAATTTATTTTGGACAATTTCTAGACTGTGTATGTATTTATTTTATATTATTATACATATATACTATATATATTTATTATATTACATTTTCATCGTTACTGAGAATTTTACAGGCAAAAATTAAATAAATAAACTTTTTTTGATTAAAAAGTTGAAACTGCAAATAAATTTAGCAATTGCGTATTCCATTTTGTTATTAATTTGTCTCTCTCTCTCTCTCTCTCTCTCTCTCTCTCTCTCTCTCCCTCCCTCTCTTCCTCTTTCTTTTTTCTCTCTTTTCCACCCTCTCTTCTTTCCCACCCTCTCTACTTTCCCACTCCCTCTCTCTCACATTCTCTTCCTCTCTCCTCTCTCTCCCCTCTCCCCCTCTAACCATCTCTCTCGCTCTCTATCCCTCTCCCTCTCACTCCCCCTCTCCACCCTCACTCTCTCTCTCTCTCTCATTCTCTCTCCCTCTCTCTTCCTCTTTCTTTTTTCTCTCTTTCCCACCCTCTCTTCTTTCCCACCCTCTCTACTTTCCCTCTCCCTCTCTCTCACATTCTCTCCCTCTCTCTCTTCTTTCCCTCTCCCTCACTCTCTCTCATTCTCTCCCTCTCTCCTCTCTCTCCCCTANCTCACACATTCTCTCCCTCTCTCTTACCCTCTCCCTCCTTCCCTCTCTTCTTTCCCTCACCATCGCCCTCTCTATCACCCTCTCTCTCTCTCTCTCTCTCTCTCTCTCTCTCTCTCACATTCTCTCCCTCTCTCTCTTACCCTCTCCCTCCTTCCCTCCCTTCTTTCCCTCACCATCTCCCTCTCTATCACCCTCTCTCTCTCCCCCTCTCTCTCTTTCTCTCTCTCACATTCTCTCCCTCTCTCTCACACATTCTCTCCCTCTCTATCACCCTCTCTCTCTCTCCCTCTCTCTTTCTCTCTCTCTCTCCCTTTCTCTCTCTGAACTCATTGTTTTTTTTACTACCTTTTGTTCAGTTTTGTATGTAAACCAAAAAGGAAATTGGCCCTTGTTATGATGATTAAAATAGATATTTAGAAAATTTTTATTGTTAAAAAGACACAAATGCGCCCGAGATAAAATAGGAAAATAGATAATAAAAATTAACTTGGAATGTAATCTTTAAGCTAAGCTAATATTTGATTTGGTATTTATGTTTTTGACAGTGATATGTGAGGGGATTTCAGAGTGGGACCAATTGTCACAGGCGTCCCAGATTGCAGGATGGCGCCAACCTGTACGACGGGGCATCGGGACCTGGAAGTCTGCGAACCGTTCGATCCCGTTTGACCCCAATTTGTCTTGAACCGATCGTAGCGATTGATGAAATTGACCTTTGAGGGGAAAAAAGAAATGACCCCGTAATTGAATCACGTTGGGCGTACGAGGGCCGACTCGACGCCCTTCCGCGTCCGCAGGCCCGTGGACCGGGCCAGGGGTCCGCTCCGTTTCGGCAATCGTCCCCCTGTCCCCCATAGGATGTCGAGTTCACAATCCTCTCGATTGTCCCATTGTGTCCCCTCTAAACCCTTTGTCCAGTTTAAATAAGGGGACAATTGGACGTCCACGATCCCCGGGCAGGCCGTCTGATATTTTATACTTTTCCATTTCCAACCTATTTCTACTATTTTTAGTACAATTTCGAACCCAAAACACAACTCAAAGGACTGTTTCCGGTTGCCCCTGTGGTATCAAATTGTCGATATTTGAAAACTAAAAAGAAACCTAGTGGTGCTTCAAGTTTGGTCAATACACGCAAAAAGTTTACACATTACGTTATGACAGGTCGAATTTACAAAAATACAGCTGATTACGTAGAGAATTCCATAGGTGTGTGTGTGTGTGTGTGTGTGTGTGTGTGTGTGTGTGTGTGTGTGTGTGTGTGTGTGTGTGTGTTGTGTTATTTATTTTACTTTGGACACACTCGTAATAAGATGAACATGATCGCTACTTTTTTTCCTTACTAAAGTACTCCTGTAATAAGGATACTGATGCAATATTGATGCATGTATTTCATTCTAAGTCATGAATCCTTTCACCTAAAAAGTATTCAAATATACAAACAAATCTTAAATAACAATAACTACCCTAAAATCAACAGAATCATAATTATAACCCAGCACCACACAAAACAACATCCTCCACCAGAACACATCATAAACACAATCATACAAAGACAAACCGATATACATGTCCATTCCGTTCATCAACACATTGTCAAACAAATTATGTAAATTTCTCTCCTCAGAACAAATTAAAATAACTCTTAAGAACAAATACTAAACAAGGAAAAAACGAATACAAACACAACTTTCTAGAAATGGTTTACATTAACAGAGAGACACACAGCATCAATTACAGAATAGATACATGCAACCTCAGCCTTAGCTACGCCAACATCATAAAGTAAATAAACTATTAAACCTTAATTTCATTAGAAGAATACTGGGGATTCTTCGAGGAAGTGACGGATCGACAGGTTACCGAACAAACAAACACGTGTGAAAATGTCTGTGTTATCGTTAGCTTAGGAAAGGGCAGGAAGAATTACGAGTAAAATCTTTGATTAAAAACTTTTATAATCTTTGAATGTTGTAATTTTTGACTTATCCGTAAATCATGGCACTCGCTAATCCATTATTCCTAAAAAGGTAATTATGTCGGATAGAGGAACATGTTCGTTGTTTAAGAGCCAGGACAAGCCATTTTAGATAGATCCTTCGTTTTTCAATTGCCGCCGTGCCGTTTTTTGAGCAGTAGAAGGGGGGCAGAGAATTCTCATTTGTTGGTATGTCGGAAGAAGAAATACATGTACAAATGCTGTAAGTGTACTCCAGCGGACCAGTGTTGACCCATGCACTGTCCTACAAGCAATTCCTGTATCTCAGAACTTTCTGATCACTGTTATATCACGAAAACCCTTAGGTACGATTTTATAACCAGATTATCTGGAAAAATAGTTTTAATTTGTATAATAAACTACTCAAAAATGAATAGAAATATTTGTAATTTATTCTTATTCTATTAATTTTAGAAGTATTAAGAATTATTTAGTTCATGTTTAGATTCACCAAGAGGCGGAGTGACGTAATGGCGTGACGTCACGCACCTCTAAGGATATCGCCGGGCGACCTGCGTTATCTCGAGGTCAAGGAGGTTCCCCCTACTGGTGTAACGAGTAACGTGACCGGTGACGTGACATTCATCCATCATCGCTCACGGTGCTGGTATCGACCAACAGGCCCAGACCTGCCAACGGCCCTTTCCCCATTACAAAACAGGCCTTGACTTTGTTTTGATTTTTTTTTTTCGGGCCGAGAGTGAAAGCTAGTTCCCTGCCCCAGTCGCGATCCCATCGCTAAACAGCCAACACTAAACATGAGCCAAGCAGTGTAAGTCTCTTTCAAAACCTTCACGCTGATGCAAAGGTTTTTTTTTGTAAATAAAATTTGAAATTGCTTAATAAATTGTTTTTTTATTGATTTGTTTTTCGTAAAAACATTTTTTTAGCCACTAAATTTTATAAATAATAAGTTATATAATATAAGTTTGTAATAAAATCTATGAAACAACAATTGTGCCATGACAGTTGGCACCCATGTCAATCAGGGTTGCCATCTTGTTTAACTTAACTTGTTCATCAAGCTAGTTTAACAAAAAATTCTTTTTTATTTATTTTATTTTTTCATAAAAACTTTTTTTCTTAGTCACTACATATTTTACAAATAAAGTTTATAAGTTTGTGATAAAATCTATGAAACAACAATGGTACGATGACAGTTGACGCCCTTGTCAATCAGGCTTGCCAACTTGTTTAACTTAACTTGTTCAATCAGGCTTGTTTAACAAAAAATTGTTTTTTATTGATTTTTTTTTTTCATAAAAACATTTTTTTCACCACATAAACATATACAAACATATCCTACATAACAATCAATACTCTAAACACATATTCACCAGAATAATCAACAACTACAACTCAACACTTAAACCATCTAATATCAATAATAGCACTACATTAATTCTATCAAACACAGACAAACCAACATACATATGCCATTCGTTCATCACATAAATTAAACATATTTCTCTCTTCTGATAACTTTAAAATAGCCTTCAAAAACTTGTAACTTGTAAAACCATCACACTCTTTTTTTCTGGTGTAATTTACAAAATCAACTGTTTCAATTGTGCGGCAACTTACATCGGAATGACATCTTAATATCTAGATAAGAGGGTAAAACCATCTATCTATGATTGCAAAAATCCCAAACAAAATCCTACAGCATTTTGAACAACACAATTTCGATTTCAACAATCCAAAATATTAAACACAAAACAAACATAAATGTCACTTTTTAGAAATGGGTTACATCGACAGAGATAAACACAGCATCAATTACAGAACAGACACATATAAATTCAGCCGCAGCTACGCTAATATCATAAATCAAATCAATATCAATAACATTCACACAACATACAACATATGAAACAATCATTACACTCCACACATCAAACAATTCTATGTAGTCTAAATCTTCAACACTTTATCTCTCCTTTCCCTAATAATCCCATCTATAATAATCCTGAAAGGCTTACTAGGCCCAAACGACAGACCATTACCCTACTTTTCCATTGTCAGTCCCTTTCACCTCATATGAAGCCGACTCCTCATAGAAAAAATAATTTCTATCCCTACATCCTTCCCCACTCCTTTAAAATCAAACATATATAAACAAAAAAAACATTAATATCTTACTAACACTCACAACACGACGCCCAACAATGACACGTGTACACAGATAAGACACACTATGAGTGAATACAAATGCTTTGATTAAATCTAAAATTTCTATATTGTGTACAGCATTGTATAATTTCATATTCATATATTATATGTATTTGTATAATTTAAACGATGTTTATAAATCCCAGGCCCTGAAGTTGATCTAAATAAACATTGAAACATTAGCACAATAAAGAAAATGTTTTTCTAAACCTACATCACACCAGATCGCATCTCACGATCTCTAAATAATCAGTTTTTGCTTGACGCCAATTTGTTTAACTTAACTTGTTCAATCAGGATAGTTTAACAAAACATTGTTTTTTATTTTTTTCATAAAAACTTCTACTATTTTCTTAACCACTACATATTTTACAAATAAAGTTTTGTAAGTTTGTGATAAATAACAATGGTACCCTTGTCAATCAGGCTTGCCAGCTTGTTTATACAGAAGCCAGTTGGCTCAGCAATTAAAAAAAATCTCCATTTGTTTATTATTATTGAAGAAAATGTTTATTAATGATAAATTTTTCGAGACAAGTCATTAATCTAAACTGTTGACCTGTTAGACATGAAAAATAAACAATTGTATTTTCACAGTTTTTTGGTAGGTGTCACAAGTTTTCACTCAACCTTAATTCTTCTTATTCTTTATATTTCTTCTATTTCATGCATATTAAAAAAAATTAAACAAAATCTTAACGTAGTTTTCTTAATTCCTCAACCCCTGTTGCTGCATACACTATCTTGTTGACTTCCATTTTGTCCCTCCTCTCCCTCATCTATATTTGCTAAGCCAAATCTCTATCCCTGATATGCTTCTTTTTTCATTTTCTTTCACACTCATACACACATACAATCTCCATCCTTTATTGTTCACCCTCAGTCTCCTCGATCTTATTACTTCAACATGCCAGTCTTTCTTATTCAGTTTTCTTTTCGAATACTATATTTTCCCCTTCCACTATTCTTCTCATCTTTTCCTCTGACCTCCATCTATCACTTAAACTTTTATATTCAATATTTTTAATATTTTGTAGTGCGGACATCGGCCTAATCGGCTTGGCAGTCATGGGCCAGAACCTCATACTGAACATGAACGACCACGGCTTTGTCGTCTGTGCCTACAACCGGACGACCGAGAAGGTGAACCACTTTCTCAAAAATGAGGCCAAAGGTACATCGGTCGTCGGCGCTTCGTCGCTTCAAGAGCTGGTCGACAAGCTCAAAACACCCAGGAGGATAATGATGCTTATCAAAGGTGAGGAAGAAGAAAAGCCATATCACATTTATCATCAATTGGACAGCTCGTTTTTCCTCTGTCCGTCTTAACAATGGGTAAATCAATAATTCCACACGAGACATAGATTGAACAAAATAAAACCATGCCACATGCCTAGTATAACTTATATTAGTAGGTAATATTTTATTTCTCACTTAGAAAGTTAAAATTTACTGGTAAAAAGTGAGGCAATGAGAGAAAATTTATTCCTTTAAATATTGTTATATATATTTAAGTCTACAAAATACAGAATGTACAGAGAAAAAAATGAATAAATCAATAGCAAAGGTCAAAGGTTTTCATTTTATAATACATGTTATAAAGTTGATAATACATTATTATTTTTTCATTAGAAACCGTAGAATTTGCAGGTCTCATGTGCGATCTGATATGTTATTATGCTGTCAGAGTTCATTGGCACTCCCTGTTTGACACTGACACACTTATCCGCCTCGGGGATCAGGTGAAAGTACTCGGCCTATGAGTCATGAAATTGGAAGTTGCACAAACGTGACAGGGTGATTTGCTCCAGGACGCTAAAAATAGATTTATTAGGATCAATATATTTTCCAAAAAGTAATTTAAATTGGACTTATTATTTTTCACAGATAAATACTTACAAATTTTTTTGAACTAACACATTCTGTTTTATTGTACCAATTCGTTCAACTCGTACGAAGACACTTTCACATTTATTTTATGGTAAAAAATAACCTACATACACATTAATACCAACACAAGGTCATGCATGCAAACACACACATTCATTATCTCATTTAAATTACCAATTCCTTTCAGTTCTCACTTTTGCCTTTATTTTGTGTAAAAACACAGCTCTTTTAAACAAAACATTCAAATTGCATATAAATTTTTTACACTCGTTCAAAAAATTCACATGCACTCATTTACTAATTCATAATCACATACCAAACACATTCACTTGTACAAGAGCACATTCACACGGATTTTCTAATATATAAACAATCATTATGTCATTTGAAGTACCAATTCATACAATTTTCATGTTTGTTTTTATTTCATGTAAAACACACATGGCTCTTTTAAACAAAACATTCAAATTGCGCATACATTTTTTACACTCGTCCAAAAAATTCACATGCACTCATTTACAAACTCACAATCACATACCAAACACATTCACTTGTACAAGAGCACATTCACACGGATTTTCTAATATATAAACGCAATTATTATGTCATTTAAAGTACCAATTCATACAATTTTCACGTTTGCTTTTATTTCATGTAAAACATACATGGCTCTTTTAAACAAAACATTCAAATTGCGTATAAACTTTTTATACTTGTTCAAAAAATCACATGCACTCATTTATAAACAAATTCACAATCACATTCCAAACACATTTGGTAGTACAAGAGCACATTTACACTGATTTTCTAATAAACAAACACAATCATTATCTCATTTAAAGTACTATTTAATTTGATTTGTAAAACAATGCTCAATTTTGCCTTTATTTTGTGTAAAAATATATCTCAACCTTTTAAACAAAACAGTCATTTACAAACAGTCATTTTTTTATTATATAAACTCTTTACACTCATTCAAAATATTATATGCACTAATTTACAAACAAATTCACATTCACAATCCCATACCAAACTCAGTAATTATGCAATTTGAAGTACCAATTCATTCGATTTGTAAAGCAATTCTCAATTTTGCCTTTATTTCATGTAAAAATACATATTAACCCTTTTAAACAAAACCATCATTAACAAACCCATGTACTTTTTTTTATTGTACACACTATTTACACTCGTTCAAAATATTAAATGCACACAAACAAATTCACATTCACAATCAATTTTGTGGGGATACATCAACTCATTCATAAGTGCAAAAACGTGTTTACGTTGATTTTCAAATATACAAACCATTGGTTATCTCATTTTGAGAATATTCACTATCTCTTCACAAGTGAGTGATGATTGAGAGATGGTTCTTAGTGGTCATTAAGAGAACAATCCATGTTGTCCAAATTAAACAATTATTTCAATTTAAAAAAATTTTTTTGCTTATTTCAGCCGGGTCTGGTGTGGACGACATGCTCAAGAGCCTTCAACCCCTTTTGGACAAAGGTGATATACTGATAGACGGTGGCAATTCAGAGTATAAGGACAGCGAGAGGCGTATGGCCTGGTGCAAGGAGAAGGGTCTTCACTTCGTTGGAGTTGGAGTGAGTGGTGGCGAGGAAGGCGCCAGAAAAGGGCCGTCTCTAATGCCAGGGGGTGACAAGGAAGCGTGGCCACACCTTGCGCCAGTCTTCCAGGTACACAATCTTCACAGTGAGAAATGTTTCATTATTTTATTTTTTTTATATATTTTTAGTCAGTTTGTGCGAAAGTGAATGGCGAGCCTTGCTGCTCCTGGGTCGGAGACGGAGGCGCGGGCCATTTTGTCAAGATGGTTCACAACGGGATTGAATACGGTGACATGCAGCTCATCTGCGAGGCGTACCACCTCATGAAGTTCGTCCTGAGAATGTCCCACGAGGAAATGAGCCAGGTATGTTCTGATTTATTTACGCATTAATTGGTTTCTTCAAATTTTCATTCAAAGTAAATTCAAATAACCACAATATACCATCATAGATTTCTATCTAATTGTTTCAATTTTAACTAGATATTGAGTTCATTTTAAAATATGTAATGCTAAAATTTTCCGTGTCAATCGTTATTTTAAAAATTATTATACAGGGTGTCACAAGTTGAATAGCTTTGAACATGGAAATGTTCATATTCTGGTAATGTTATTTGTCAGGTGATAAACCAAATCTACCTAATAACAAACTCTCATCTGATCTTCCTGTTAAGTCTGACGTTCCTCAAGGTGCAATTTTAGGACTTTTATTGTTTTCAATTTGTATTAGCACTTTCAGCACAGAGGCCAATCGGCCATAGACTACCTACGTCCCCACCCGTTTTGGCTCATTGGCTTGACCTGATTACAACAGATTAAATTAATGATTATGCACAGGACCATCCTAATCAAACTTATATTATCAAACAACTAATAAATAAAAATAAATAAAAAATCAACAAAATAATAAATGTAACATAATAAAACAAATAATATTAAAATATGTTAAACAGTTTAATAAAACCAGATTGCAATTAATAAAAACAATTACATTATGCAAAATTTATATAATATAAAATAATAAAATAAAAATAAAAAATTAATGGAATAAATACGTTACGTACACATACAACACTACCTGTATATACTTATAAAAAATTTAGGAATGTCAAAAATAAGATTACATATTTTTTAACAAAGCATATTAACTGAAGAAAAATAAAACTATAAATTTTTATAGTTACTAACTATTGAAATAGTTTTAGTCTTACAAGCATCATATTGCTCTTCATGGCCATCTTATTGCCATGTAACTCACTAACAAGTTCAAAATCATCGTCAGAACATGGCGCGAATTCCTAGATCGGTCATATTTTTCAAATCTTATACCATTTTATTTTTATTTTATTTTATTGTTTAATCCATGAAGTGTCTTTTTTCTAATAAAATTAGATAAAATGTTTAAAATAGGTGAAAGTTTAAAAACCATAACTTACATAAAAAGAATAAATCAATTATGTATTTAAAAAAGTATTTACCATGCCGTTATTATTTTTTCTATATTTTATACAGACATAATTATAAATGTTGATTTGTCACAAATGGAAATTATGGCAACAATTGTTTGTTTATTCCCAAGATACAAGATAGATAAAATAGATAAGTTATTTGTAATTTGGTATAATGAAGAAAGCTGTATTATGAGAAAATTTAGCTTTTTTTTTTTATAAAACTTACCTTATTTTTAACAATATGTGAAATGAGAGTCACTTGTCGAACTGCGCACTAAAATGAAGCCGGTGATTAGTGGATCCAAAAACGATGAACATAGGTCGAAAGCAGGCACTCAAATAGTCTTAAGTTAAGAAAACGCTGGGAATTCATAAAAACCCAGACCCACCACAACCAAATGAAAATAAAGGGGGCCAACTTGGACTTGAACTACCAAGCGCCAAGTGGCACCTATCCAGCTGATAGTGTTAAAGACTTCCCATTTTGCTTAAATTACTCCAAATTTCATTTACATCTTGACATACACAATATCCCCCTCATTCCCTGATTCCATTCAACTCATTAACAAAGACCTATCTAGCTTGATTAATTGAGCTTCAAACAATGTCTCACTCAAATCCCAATCGATAATTATTTACAACACAGATCTGCCAACAAGGATTTTTCCTTGCATTATTCTTGGTGGCTCTTTAATACCCTTCTCTAACCAGGCAAAAAAAAAACCTTGGTGGGACTTTTATTACCAGATTATCTAGGGATGATTATTTAGGCTTTGTTGCTAGAAGGGCGAATGAGACATTCACTTTGGAAATATAAATTTATTTCTTTGACAGTAAAACATGAGACTAGTCAAAACTCTTATTTTACCTTTTTTTATTTTATTTTATTTTTTTCAATTCTATCTACTCTTTTTCACTTAATCACACTTCTACTAAAAAAATTAGAATACTTTTTAATATTTACACAAGATTTGTATTGTTTTCGAAGAAGAGAGCACATTTCAGCACATGGTGTGTTCATCCTGGGTATTAATTTATTTGACTAATTTAAACTCCAATCTCCTATTAATTTATTTAATGTTAAAAATAAACTCCGCCTGACATACTTATTCATTATATTCTATTTTAATTCTTATCGCAGTTTAAATATTATATAAAGCTTGTATCATAGATCGAAATCTATGAATGATTCATTTATAGCTGCTGGGGCACATCTGTGGAATTCCCTTCCCTAGCATATTAGGTCCACTCACCCCATTCAGGCTTTCAGGCATAAAGCTTGCAACTTTTTTTTTTCTTTCTAATAATCCATTAGAATAGTTTTGCTATTCTCTCTTTTATACTTCTCTCTTTCATCCATATTCAACTATATTAATATCATATAAATTTTGTTTATTAATTATTATTTTTTGCATTATATTTCGCAACCTTTTTGTGATTTAATTATTTTATATTTTTGTACACACTATAAAGGGGCCAAGCTCTATTGCAATTTTTTAAAATAAATATATTTCTATTTAATTAGCTAGCTTCTAGTTAATTAGCTAATTCCATCAATTAAAAATCATAATAAACTTAGATTGGTTTTTATTGACTAGGTGCCACATTCCAGCAAGAGGTTTTGTTGTTATAATTTATTTTATTTTATTTTTTTTAAGTATAAAAAATATAAAATTAAAGAGAGATAGAACAAATAATTAAATTATTGATCTTAATTGCTTTGAGTATAGCTAACTTTTGATTTTAGTTGATACCTTCTAACTTTGAGTAGTTTGTTTTATTTTTATTTAAAATTTTTGTTGTTTGAGTTTCTTTCTTTTTTTCTTTGAAAAGAACAAAAAACTGATAGGTGGTAAGAAGCGATAACCCTTTTGTAACCTTTTGTATTTCGGCCTTGAACGATTGACAATTATCTCCCCTTTTCAAACAATAAAAATTGAATAATTAATTTCTCTTGTTTATCGAATTGTTATTAAGATATAGTGGAAAATGGATTTATTTGTGTTAGCGAAATGAAGTCGATATGTCATGGTTAAAGTTAAGTTGTTGTTTTTCGCGAAGGCAAGAGAGCTCTCAGGTAAAAAAGAGGCTCTTCTCGATCTACCTCAAAGTTCGACCAGTTATAAAGAGCTGTTAGAGGTTATTGTCAAAGAGCACAGCTTGGATTTGATAAAGGCAAACGTGATATTGGCCCAGAACGAAGAGTATATTGAGACGGGCGAAGTCGAATTGAAAGAAGGCGATGAGATAGCTGTAATACCACCATTGAGCGGCGGATAGTATGGACAGCATCATTCTGACAGAGGAGAACCTCAGCATCGAGGAGGCATGTCAGAGAGTTGGAGACAATACGTGCGGAGCGATATCTACATTTGTTGGTACGACTCGGGACAGCTTCGAGGGCAAGAGGGTCATAAGCCTCGTCTACGAGACTTACAAGCCGATGGCGGTGAAAGAAATGGAAAAGATCTGCGCACGCATGAGACAGAGGTGGGATGGAGTGAGGCATATTTGCTTCAGGCACAGGCTGGGCGAAGTGGCCATCGGCGAGGCGAGTGTCATTATAGCAGTGTCGTCGGTGCACAGGGCAGATGCTCTGGCTGCTGTCGGATACGCTATCGACGAGCTGAAGAAGACAGTGCCAATTTGGAAAAAAGAACAATATGCTGATGAGCCAGCCGTCTGGAAAGAAAATACAGAGTGTGACTGGAAATCACCCAGTTAATAGTTCAAAATTTATCAATTTTATAGTCTATTTTTGCAACTTAATATTGTTGTAAAATTTAGTTAAACATTCAGAAATTTTATACACAATTGTTTAATAATAAATGACAATTATTTTTGCACCAATCAGTTATAATCATTGACCCAAACGACACCTCCATCCTTTATTAATCTAACAATAGCCTAGGTAAATATATTTGATATTTCCTAAAGTTATATTATATATTTTTAAAGACTTTTGATGACTGGAATAAGAAAGAGCTCGACTCGTTCCTCGTTGAGATCACTCGTGACATACTCGCCTACAAGGACAAAGACGGCGACTACCTCGTCGAGAAGATACGTGACAGCGCTGGCCAGAAGGGTACAGGGAAATGGACGGCGATCAACGCCCTCGACCTAGGCGTTCCGGTGACTCTGATAGGCGAGAGCGTGTTCGCAAGGTGCCTGTCATCACTTATCGACGAACGCCACAATGCCAGTAAACACCTTGCAGGGCCGAAGGATACGACTTTCAACGGAGATAAGAAAGAGTTTTTAAACGATATAAAAAAGGTTTTTTTAAATGTTGTAAAAACAATTTAATTGTTTTTTTAATTTTATTTTTTACTATAGGCGTTGTACGCTTCTAAGATCGTTTCCTACGCCCAGGGATTCATGCTGATGCGCGAAGCGGCAAAGGAATACAACTGGGATTTGGATTATGGTGCAATTGCTCTTATGTGGAGAGGCGGATGTATAATCAGAAGGTAAAACATATTGGTGTGTGTTTCTTAGTGACCTGTTGTTAAATAATTTGTTCATGAGGAGTGGTCAAGAATGAGGTACTTTATATGTTGTTTCAACCTTTATTCGGGTCATCTTCAGGGCCTGGGTAAATTACAAAACATGTTGATTGGAAAAAATACAGTTTAAGATGTAAATATAAAGTTTGAACCGAGTATTTCATACGTGGTGCTATTCTTGTGGTGTCATTTTGGTTTTGTGTGAAAGTGTTGTAATTTTTTTTTTTTTTTTTTTTTTTTTTAAGTATTAAGGACAATAAACGAAGGATAGGGGGAAAAATATAATTAAGGTTTAATGGTTTATTTGCTTTATAATGTTGGCGTAGCTAGGGCTGAGTTTGCTATCTGTTCTGTAATTGATGCTGTGTGTGTGTCTCTGTTAATGTAAACCATTTCTAGAAAGTTGCATTTGTATTGTTTTTTTTCCATGTTAGTATTTTTATTTTGTCGAAATCTAAGTTGTGTTGTTTTTCAAAGTGGTGTCTGGTCAATGCTGTGGGATTAATTTTTGGTGTTTTACTGTCCTAGGTATTTTGTTTTTTCCGTTTTTCTAGATATTGTCATGTAATTCCATTGTATGTTGCTGGACAGTCATACAATAACTTTATAAATTACATCAGATTTGAAGTCTGTTGGTGTTGGGTCTTTGGAAAAAATTGTGTGTACTGTTTTATGGTTTTTAAAGGCTATTTTAATGTGTTCTGAAGAGAGAAATTTCCTTAATTTGTGTTTGTGTGGCAATATGTGGATGAATGGAATTGATATGTACATTCGACTACCAATGAGACTGTAGAAAAACTTGTGGTATAATTTTTTTTTTCCAGTGCTTTCTTGGGTGATATAAAAACTGCGTTCAAGAAGGATAAAAACCTCAAGTCCCTCCTGCTCGATGATTTTTTCAAGAAGGCGACCGCTGACTGCCAGGATGGGTGGCGCCGTGTCGTCGCGCAGTCCGCATTGCTCGGCGTCCCTGTGCCCGCGTTCTCGACAGCACTCAGCTTCTATGACGGTTACCGTTCGGAACGCCTACCCGCCAATTTGCTTCAGGCAAAAGACAATTGGTTTAAAACTTTATTTTAAAATATATATTCATTTTTGTAAATTTTCACAGGCGCAGAGGGATTATTTCGGTGCGCACACGTACGAGCTGCTCGCCTCACCGGGCAAGTTCGTACATACAAACTGGACCGGTCACGGCGGCAACGTCTCCGCATCTACATACCAAGTCTAACGACGTTTCCTTCTCCCTATCCTTCAAAGTTTATTTGAACAGATTCGTGGGACTATTTTCATGTCAGGTCAATAACTAAATAATTAAATTTAATTACAAAAAAATTTATTTTTATATAATACAATACTTATAAATATATTGTGTCAGGAGGAAAAATAAAATAAAAATAGATTATTTATTTTGTGGAGGAAAATTACGAATACCCGCTCTTTCTTCCCTAGCTCCAGGCGTTCGCCTTGTGCTTCGGCAGGAACGTAAATCCTTCCGGCACTTTATTTAGAAGCATCTCACTGTGGAAAAAACAAAGTATTTAGAATTATAATCTTGGCCTACCGTAATAATTTTGCAAAAATATATCTCTATAGTATTTACCTTATTTTTATCCAGTCGGAGCAATTGCCACTAGCCATGAGTGTTTCCATCTCGTCTCGGCCCCTGTAATACGGCGGCCTGGCGTTCATCACCTGCGGCGGGTTCACCAAAATGCCGACGGGGATGTAGCGGTAAAGGAAACTGAGCCATTCGAGTAAGAACCTTCTTGTTATTTCCACACCCTGAAGTCAATGGTTTAAAAAAAAAATTGTAATAGGTAAATTGAAAAAAAAAGTTTTTTTTTACTCTTGTATCTGAACCCCAGTGTTCAAGGCCGTAGTTTACGAATTTCCCCAATATTTCGAAACGCTGCGAGCTCGTCATGTCAATATTGCGCTTTTCTTTGATCTCAGTGAATATCCACGGCTTCATGAGCGCCCCCCTGCCGATCATGACGCCCTGGGCGGTCGGTGAACGCTCCCTTGCCAACTCATAGTCTCGGTATGACAGGATGTCGCCGTTGCCAAACACGGCCATCGGCGATGCTTCTTTGGCACACGTCTCGATGTATTCCCAGTCGGCCTTCCTCACGAATCTCTGTTCCCTAGATCTGCCATGTACCTTTGGCACAAAAAAAAAAAAAAAATCTAATTTGAAGGAAAAAATTAACAAACTTACGGTCACTAATGATACACCGGCTTGTCGCATATCCGCCATATATTTATGGGAGACGAAGTTCTTTGCGGTTACCCCTGTCCTTACTTTAACAGTGAGCGGGACGCTCAACACCCTGCTTACGCCATTTACGACTGATCTCACTTGTGATCTGCTTCGCAACATCGCACTTCCTCCACCCTTAGAAGAAAAAATATTTATTCACACATTTATTATTGATGGTTGTAAAATAAAATGAGATCCCAAGGAAAATAATTTACAACCTAAGGCACTATATCAGCAGATGGTTGCAATTATAAATTACTCTTTTAAACATTTAATCATATTTTAATTGATTATAATAAAAACAATTATTTACATTGCTAAAACCCCATGTTAAAATTGGATAAGTCACCGGCTGACCTGTCGGTAGATGAGGTCGATAGGACAGCCCATGTTGATGTCTACGAAATCAACTTTGGCGTTCTCGTCGACCAGCTGGGCGCAGCGAGTCAATATTGGCATGTTGGTGCCGGCTATCTGTACACCGAAAAGGTCCTCAGAGGGGTGGCGTTTCACCAAGGCCCATTCCTGAGGCGAGCCCTGGAGCAGCTCCGAGGCCAGGGCCATCTCCCCGCATGTAACGTCTGCGCCATACTCTTTGCATATCCTCCTGAATGGCAGATTGCCGAGAGTTGTAAGTGGCGAAAGGTACAGTTTGTCCCTCCAGTCTATCTATATAAAAAAAATATATATATGAAAAACAATTTTTTTTTTTTACTTTCTTAAATTACTTGTTTTTTCTCTTCGGGCCTTAATTTGATTACATCTGTATCATCCACCGGACCGAGATTTTCACCATTAGCGTCCATGCCTTGACCCCTGCCTAAGATTCTGTCCACTTCTTTAACAACAGATGCACTCTTCGAAAAGTCGTACTTCTTCTTTCTCAGTACCATCTGGGGAAAAATGAGATGTCTCATCATCTCCAATATAGCAGCATAATAAAAACATACCTTCAGATCGTTTGACATGCTGTTCAGTGTTTTCCATGATCCATCGTCCTGAGACTTTTGATATAGTATCTCGTCTTTTATGTTGATGCCATCTTCTGTCAGATGAGAAGAACCAAAGCTGGGGGGGAAACATTCAGGTGGCATAGAAAAATGCAGATGTATCAATATTTGTGTGGGGTTTAGTGACCGTTAGTCAGTGATTATTCAGAGATTGTGAGATGTGGTCTGGTGGGCTAGGCTTTACAAGACAAGAGGAAGATACGATACTGAAATGATAATTAAAAATCTAAATCGTGTGTGTGCATATAAATAAAAAAAATTCACATCCTAAATGTACTTGTAAAATTTAAACAATATTTATAAATCCCAGGACCTGAAAAAGATCTCAATAAAGATTGAAACGTTGGCACGATAAAGAAAATGTTTTTCTAAAACCTGCGTCACACCAGACCGCATCTCATGATCACCAAATAATCTTGTATCAATATTTTTAAGGCAAGATTTCTTTTGTTTTGTGTTAAAGAAACTCTCAATTTCAGTATATAATTATGCAATTTATTTATATATAGGGTGCTTCGATCAAAATGTATCATTTCTTTCAAGGGAAAGTTTTTATTTTTTCAAATAAAAAGTAGATCGTCTTAAAGGTTAACCGGTGTTTCAGAAAGCCTGTATAAATACAAATAAGGTACACTATATGGTGAACAACTCACCGGCATGTTATACCACGGGGGCAGAACCCCCTTAGGCTGTAGACATAGCATTCGGGTCCAATGTCGGGCGCTTTTTTCGCCAAGTAGCCCACCGTGTCGTGTGTGTACTTGCAAACGGGAAGATCACACGAGCCCGTCTTGATTATGTTGTTGCAAAATACGTCCGCATCATCCTCTCTATAAGCAGTCTTACGCCTCGACTTGTTCTGGCCTTTGATCTTCCTCTGTTCTCTTCCGGTTAGCTTCTGCTTCTTGGCACCTTCGTCTTCATCATCCCCATCCTTCAGCTTCCTCTTGTCGGTCTCGCTTACGCAATCCAAGACAAGTTGTCGTTGATGGTCGGTTATGACATACCTGGACAATAAATATCAAACTGTAACGGTTTTAAAAATTATATTTTATCTTTTGGCCAGCTGAACACTCGGTTCTGATTGACCACATACAACATAATATTGTCAGTACCATGCGTACTGCCTTATAAACTGACTATTCGTGTCCACTGTACCTCCAACCTTCCCTCAAAGTTTGCCCCTTCCCTCCATTTTTACCAGAAAACCTCTCTCCCGGCCAAGCTCTCAAAGCATACACATCTCCCTGTGACTTCTCTCCCCCAAAGTGTTGCACTACAGTTAGTAATTCATCGTAAGATCGCCTCGTGAATATCGTACTGCTTGACATTCGCGTTGCCTAACTCCTGCAACGTCAGATCCTGCTTCCGGACACCAAAGCTTCCATCACCATTTTCCTTTAATATCCATTTTCTTCCGATCACTCTTTCATTTTGCCTTTCAGTCACCTCCTTTTATCAACCTACTACCATCATAATCGTCCACAAAGACATACTCATCATCTCTCACTGACATCACCAAATGGATCATCCATCGCCATCACATCTGTTAAAGTTAGGCCAGTGCACTGGCTATTCATTGCCGAACGAAATCACATATCGCTTTCTTTTTAAAGATCTTCCTACAAGATCTCAAACTGTGTTTTCACTTATTCCTTCCTTTATTTATTCTTTAATTAAATTATTCCTAAATTCATTTATCTCCGAATCAATGTAGTGTCAAAAAAAGCAATTCCTTTTCTAAAAATTTCAACCTCCTATCTCTGCAGTGTTTGCTGATGCCATTTTGTTCATTCAGGTTGAACTCTTGACATGGCAGTGCCACTGAAAAAGCGCACTTTGGATTAGGAGTACAGACAAGAAAACCAGGAAGAAGAGGAAACCGCAGAACACATTTTATGTTTCTGCGAAAATCTCTGTAGGTGCAGTTTCTTGCAACTAGGACAGGAAAAACCGCAAGCAAATTCTACACTAAGGAGCCATTGGTAAAGATAAGGAGGCTGATTAACAACCTGAAGCTGTCCAATGAGTTATAAATTAAAGGGGAGCACAATAGATCAATTCAGGTCGAGGTGCAGTAGGCCTTGTGGCCGCCTCTTTTATCCATATCCTTATTAAACCATCAAAAATATTTTTTGTTGACGTTCCTTCCCGCCCACCAAAAAAGAAAACCTGACAGGAAGGTTATACTGGTTAATGTAACCTTCAACGTTTTTCCGGTGCACGTTTTTCGTCACGACGGACGGTTTTTCCGGTAAAACCCGGTGGGAAAACAATTTTCACATATTTTTTTTAATATTATAATTTGGAAAGAGGTCTTCCACGGGGGCAGATCGGGACATACACCCTCCAAACTCCCGTGGAAACCGACCGGCAAAAAAGGACCATCGACTCACTCCGGTTTGATCTCGGCTTCGTTCTCGTCCCTTTTGACCTCTCCAGGAGGGTCCTTTTCCTCCTGCCGGTCCATAACTTCGCCCTCTTCTTATCCTAAAGTGAGAACGTCTCGTCCAGTGATAAACGAGGCTCCACACGGAACGGATAACACTATAACAGTCGCCGGAGCTTATATCGATCATTGTATCGAATGAATCGATTGTTCAGGCGGGAACGGAGACACGCTACTAGTCGTTAGTCTGGCGCCAGCGGCCTTCACGAACCGTTCTGCATATTCATCTTATCACCGTAAGTGGTTAAAAATTTTCCTACACTTAATCAACAAGTTTCCATTAATTCAAAATTGAATTAAAAACCATCAATAATTAAAAAGAAAAACCATGTTTATGCAGTAACGCACGTGGTTACGCGTTAAAGCATGACGGCTTAAAATGTAGGTTGCAATCGAGTGTTATTCATTACTGAAACATGGCAAAAGGTACATTTTAGGATACCTAGGTTATTCCCATACCGCGTACTATATAAGACAATAATTAATAATAAATTTCAGTTAATCATTAGTTTTTATCTGAGACCTTGGTCGAGATGAAAAAGCCAGTGTCTCGAGCGGTACTCGAACTCTCGACCTTCGGCTCAACAACCACTTGAGAGTTGAGCTATCGTGGCTTCGACTTGGACACCTCAACCTGCAACCTTTCGCATTTTCCTTCTTGCCATTTTTCAGATAGATAAAAAGAATAATTAATTGAAATAATTAATATGCAATGCAACATTAACTTTTTTATTTTTTCTACATAAACAGTACGTTTAGAGATAATTGTTGGATTCGTGAAGAGAGGTCAAGAATGAGGTAGTTTGGAAAGGACACCCTTTTCATTTTTTTTGTCGTCGTTCCGTCCTTTTTACGTTACGCAAAAAAAAAGGTTTATTTTCTAAACTACCTCATTCTTGACCGCTCCTCACGAATACAACAATTATTAAATAACCGGTCACCAAAAAAACACATACTTGAGCGAAGAAGTAATCGATAAAAAAATTAATTTTAATGATTTATTTGTTGTTGAAGAGATGTCGAGATTGAGGTAGTTTGAAAAAAACACCCTTTTCATTTTTTTGCCGACGTTTGTTTATTCTTGTTGTGTCATATTGGCCTTGTATGAAAGTGCTGACAACACAAGAACAGCACCACACTTTATGCCCTGAAGACGACTCGAATAAAGGTAGAAACGTCGCCAATAAAAAAAGGATTTTTGTAAACTACATCATTCATGACCGCTCCTCACGACTTCATCAAATTATGAAACGACAGGTCACTAAAAAAATACACATTTAATAATTTTGTTTTATTTATTGCTATCTGTACAAAATATAGATTGAGCAAATAGGTAGAAATGTGTGGTGTTTAGTGGCCGATAGTTAATGATTATTTGGAGATCGTGAGATGCGTTCTGGTGTGACGTAGGTTTTAGAAAAACATTTTCTTTGTTGTGCCAACGTTTCGATCTTTATTGAGATCATCTTCAGGACTCAAAGTGTTTGTTTTCTGTGTAGATGTGTCATTCCTGTGTGTCGTGTTCGAGGGGCAACATGACACACAGGAATGACACATCTACACAGAAAACCACACTTTGAGCCCTGAAGACGATCTCAATAAAGATCGAAACGTTGACATGATAAAGAAACAGTTTTTCTAAAACCTACGTCACACCAGACCGCATCTCACGATCTCCAAATAATCAGCAAATAGGTAGGTTGAGATGGGATGTTGGTGTCCGAGTGGATCTTAGTTCACGATAGCTCAAGTGGCAGAGCAGCGGCGTATTTAGCCGAAGGTCGAGGGTTCGAATCCCGCTCGTGACCAATTTTTTCATTTTAACTAATACCCTATTTTAAGATTAGTTAATTGAAAGAAGTTATTTGGTCAATCAGACCACGAAATATAATGGATTGAGCAAATAGTTCAGTCATATACAGATCTGTCAGACCAGTTGGCAGAGGGGAGAGAAATTAACCAGTGCTGGAACTCTTTTGTTTAATTGGGTTAGTGTGGAGGGATAGTTTAGTGTGGAAATTAAAGAACCGTGTTCGGAATTTTTCACGAAAGGGATGTTAAGGATCATTATGTATCGTTCGATTAGTGACATAGAAGGGAGCGTTGAGGATTCGGCGGAGGTTGAAAATATTAAATTCCTGGGATATTGGATGATTTGGCCGAGCCCCACAGTTCGGCTCCATAGGTCCAAATAGTTCGGATGAGTGTTTTGTAAGGGGCTAGTTTGTTATGTGCTTCGTGCTGATTTTGGTCCCAGTAGGTGTCTTAGTAGTCCATAGTCCAGTGGCTTCCATGTAAGTCTACTATCTAAGTAAAGCCCTAGGTAGCGGGCTTAGTTCAATGGTGGTACTATCTTGTCGTTATTACTGGTGGGCAGGTTTGACGTAATTCGTTGGCTTTTTTGTTCGTTTAACCTGATCCGCCACAGATTGCACTAGTCATGTTGTTCAGATGTTGGATTGCTTCTATTGGTAGGATAGGATTGGAGTGAATTGATAAGATAGGCCTAGGATACTTCCTTGTGGAACGCCAGAACGCCAGCTTTATATCTTTTGTATCTCGACGGATGTTCTGAAACCACTCTCGCGATTGTTTAGGGATGGTTAGGGTTTTTTTGGTTGTAAATTTCTAATCGTTATAGTGGATTATTTAGAAGCAGGTTTCATAGCAGTTATCATTCTTTATTATTTTGGGAATTTTGTAGGTGCAGGTTTAATGTTACAGATGTTTTACGTTATAAAACACGAGGTTTAAATCAGTTTGAATGTAGGTTTCATTACTGTAACATCAAAGACGTTCATTTAACACAGCTACATTATAATCGGTTTGAAAAAAAAATCGGATCCACTCAGATAATAATTTAATTATCGTCACAACAAGCCCAGTTACATTTTTATAGTGGCATCCACTTTGACGCACTAATTTGGAGATAAGAGTCGAAAATAAGATAAGACAAAAAATATTGATGCGCGAAGGGCTGATCGTCCATTTTTCTATATTTTCCACCGTTATAGTCAAACAATGATTTAGACAAAAACCCGTTTTGTAAACACGGGGGGGGGGCGATAATAGACGGACAGTTATACATATCTTAATCTAACGTAGCCCTACCACTCCTCCAAACCGAGCGATCGCCTAATTACATGTTAGATAAATACACGTTATGATCAAGGACTAGATATTTTATTTGTTTTTTAATTATTTTTTTCCCCCCGACGACAGTCTTCTCCGATCTGAAACACGCCTCTCAACGTCCCGCTCATTCCACTGGGTAAGATTAACAAAATAATGTGCAGGCAGTTACTAGTAAATAATTAAAAATAGGCCGCGAATCGAAAAAGGGCACTGAATACGTGGAAACTTAAGTTATTTAGAATTATCACCATGAAATCTACATCTAAACTGCATCGGCCATATTGAAATGTAATTTTACCCTGATGTGACTTAATACCTAGTGTAACACGACAGTAACCTACCATCCAGTAACATGTGGACAGTAACATAACTTTGTGGAAATCTATCTAACTGTTGCAAGCTAATCGAAGCTTACCCAATAAATACTCATAACTCTTAAAACTTTTTCTTGGAATACGAGTGTGATCACTGATTAGACGAATCATCATCTCACAAAAGGGCTAGTTGATCTAAACGACTGAATAATTACCAGTTTCGAGTGTGTAAATGAGTCAGGGACAGATCACACAAAAAGTATCATTGATCAAAATGACTAAATAATTACGAGATGGATAGAGTAGGTGAGTGTCTGATTGAGTCAGGGACAAATCTCACAGAAAGTCTCGTTGATCAAAATGACTGAATGACCATATTCGACAGAGTACAAGTGTATGAATGACGACGATTCAGTGGCTGATTGGACGATTCATCAGCTCTCAAAAAGACGCATTGATAAAAAACGCCTAAGGATTCGTGGGACTCAAATTTGTACGAAATAACCCCACTGAAACCTACCTTCTTCACCCGCGATAGCAATATTGAAACCTACTCTAAAAAAGTTACCTCCATGAAACTCAACCTCTGACTAACAGTAACCGTATAGAACGGTTCCTTACAGTTGTTATAACCTAATTGAAACCTACCCCATTAAATCGGTGTAGGTCTATTATAACCTACCATTAAGCCACAATAACATCACTGAAATTTACATCCATCAACAGTTGTAACCCAATTGAAACTAACGCAAATAAATTGAAGTAACCTAATCAAAACTAACCGCTCCAATCATATTCAACTACTTCCATAAATTGCCGTAAACAAATCGAAACCTACCTCACGAACTATTGTACCCAAATAGAAACCTACCTCCAAAATGCTGTAAACCAATCGAAACGAAATCTTCCTCCACGAACTGTTGTAACCAAATAGAAACCTACCTCCAAACTGCTGTAAATCAATCGAAACATACCTCCTCGAACTGTTATAACCAAATAGCAACCTTCCTTCATAAACTGTTGTAACCCAATAGAAACCTACTTCTACGTACTGTTGTAACCAAACAGAAACCTACCTCCATAAACTGTTGTAACCCAATTGAAATCTACAGCAAATAAACTGCAAATAACAAATAAACTGAAAACCATCTACTTCACTTTATAACAAATCTATCGTTTGGTAATATGTGTTTAATTTTATAAGGTAACTCCTTTTAGCTATTGTCAGCTCTGAAGTAAACCTGATACACAATATATACTGTTACCGTTACTAAAACCTACCTCGAATAATGTAACAGGTTACGAACTTAAATTGACGTTGTAGAAACTTCTCTTTCATTATTGTAGCCCATCTGAAGCATACCTCATAATGTTACAATGTAGAAACCTACGTTTAACGTAGTTTTATCTTACCGAAACCTTCTCATTACAGTAGCCTTACTGAAGACCTCTTACGATATGTAACTCTATAGAAACCTACCTTTAACCTATTGTTCCTTTGTTGATATATTTTCTATTGTAATTAAAATTTTCTTTTTTCAACCTATTTCACAATTATTTATTTAATTTATTTATTTTACAGTTTATATCCGGGTTGAGGGAGCTTGTTAAATAGCAATTCTGCGGAGTCTTATATATACCGTGTCCTCTGATATGCAGGGGTGAAAAAGCTTAATAAATAGAAAAGGATTTTTTTGTAATCCACAGATGTCTGATTGTGTCTGAAGGTTAGCAAAACTGCCATACATTATTTTGTAGTTGTTTTTTAAATTTTTCTCTTTTTTTTCCTTTTGAAGATGGCTGGTGAAAACGAGGTGTCGTCCCGGACTGGGTGGAGGTCGATAGGGGTCGAGCCGGTCCTCTTCCTCTACATGTCCGCCTTCATGACAACGTCTGTCGTCGAGGAAGCTTTCTTCGTCAACAAAGTGTGCACGGTTAACTTGGGCTACGAGCAGAAAGTCTGCGACAACCTCAACGACAACAAGTACCTACAAGAGCGTACGGAGGTCCAAGTAAGTAGAAAATTGAAAATAATTCGTGCGTTTTCCCCTTTTACCTTCATCTACGTTTTGGCTCAATTTAGATAAGGGTCTCGACCTTCCATCAGTACGAGAACATAGCGACCCATGGTATACCGATCATTCTGGCCTTCTTCCTCGGCTCGTGGAGCGATAAGGTCGGACGGAAGCTACCGATGCTCATCGGGCTTTTCGGCAACTTGATATACTCGACAATGATAATCCTCAACGACCTCATGGGTTTGTACAATTACTTTAAAAAAAAAAAAAAGAGAGATAGATTCTTTTGTAAATTGCGGTACTGTGTACAGACGAAGTACTATAGGGGTAGGTTTCAATAGTGTTATGTTATGGAGATAGGTTTCATTTAGGTTATAATGGTTTAGTGGTAGTTTTGAATATTGTGAACCAAATAGAAACCTACTTCCATAAACAGTTGTGAACCAATCCGAAACTTACCTCCACGAACTGTTTTTTGACCAAATAGAGCAGTTGTTTGTTCGGGTAGATATCAAAAGGTAATTGTGTCTTAGTAATAAGTTGTACTAGGGCTACGGGGTTTATGAAGATTTGTAGGTTTCCATAGAGTTGATGCAATTAATTTTAGTAGGTTTCAATACGGTAAATGGTGAAAAGGTAGATTACAATAGGGTTACTGCAATTTTTGGAGGTAGGTTTCTATTTCAACATTTCGTAGAGGTAGGTTTCTGATTGGTTTACAATAGTTTATGGAGGAAAGTTTCTATTTTGTTACAACAGCTTATGGAGGTAGGTGTCGGATTGGGTTACTGCAATTTATGCGTTACTTCAATTTATTTGCTGTAGGCTTCAATTGGGTTAACTGTTGATGAATGTAAACTTCAGTGAGGTTATGGTGGCTTAATGGTAAGTTATAATAGACCTACACCGATTTATTTTGGGGTAGGTTTCAATTATGTTATAAACAAGGCACCTTTCCATATGGTTACTGTTACTTAGAGGTTGAGGTTAACTTATGTAGGTAGCTTTTTAGGTTATATAGGTAACTTTTATATAGGTAAGTAGGTTTCAATATTGCTATCGCGGGTGAAAAAGATAGGTTTCAATGGGGTTATTTCGTACAAATTTTTGTCCCACGAATCTTTCGGTCTTTGTGACCGTGTAGTCTATCAAATTTGGTAATTGTACGATCATTTTGATCCGGAGTCTTTTTGTGAGCTGCTAAATTGTCCAATCTGCCACTGAATTTGTTCACATCCTCGTACTCCTCTAACAAACCTGGTTATTGTTCGATCATTTTGATCAATGCGTCTTTTTTGCGAGCTGATGAATCGTCCAATCAGTCACTGAATTCGTTTACACACTTGTACTCTATCAAATATTGTGCGGTCATTTGGATCATTACGTCTTTTTGTGAGCTTTTTTTTATTTATTTATTTTTTTGTAATTTGTTGTGTTTTAATTTTTTAATCAGACGACTGGCCGGTTGATGTGGTCCTGTTCACCGCATGCCTCCCATGCGCCCTGACGGGAGGCAACTTGACTGTGTTCATGTCCGCGTTCAGCTACCTCTCTGACACGACGACCCAGAGGGAGCGGACACTCCGTACTACGCTCCTCGAGGTCGCCTACCTCACCCCTATGCCTCTCGGCGTCATGTTCGGCTCCTATCTCTACTACAACGTCCTCGGCCGGTCTTACGCCGCGATGTTCACCGTCAACGCCGCCTTCCTCGTTGCCGCCATCGTCGTTGCGTGGGCCGTGATGGACTGGAAAACGACCGAAGGTCCCTGCGACGTGAGCGGCCCTTGCTTCGGCCTCGTCGACTTCGGCCACGTCGCCGCCTCTTTCAAAACACTTTTCAAGCCGAGGAGGAACAACCGACGCCTCTTCCTCTTCCTCGTCCTCATCGCGATGGCCCTCTACACATTCCAAAGAGGTATTTCTCAATAGAATCCATTGAATAATATAGACACTCATCCGAAGATGGATTGTTCCAGACGAGAAGCACATGGTCTTTCTTTACACGCAGCATGTGTTCAACTGGGACCTGGCCCAGTACAGCAAATTCAGGACGTTCCAATCGTCGGTCTTCATATTCGGCCTCCTCCTCCTCGGCCCGTTGCTCACGAAGCTTTTAAAATTGAAAGACATGGTGATGGTGATGCTGGGGGCCGTGTCCCATTTCGTGACGAGGGTCATTTTCGCCACGGTCATGGAGCCGTGGCAGTTCTACATCGGCGCTCTCACCGCCTGCCTAGGGCCGACTGTCGCCCCCGTCTTCAGGTCGTTCGTCTCCAAACTGGTGCCGCCCAATGAGCGAGGAAAGGTGAGCGGAGACTTATCGAGAATGAAAGGCTTAAGCCGGGAACAACTTACCCGATGCAACGCCATGCGACGCTATCCGATGCTACCCGACGCAAATCCTAAGTCCATTTTTTCATAAAGTTTATATTACTCCCGTGCACATCTGCCCGATGCTATGCAACGCTAACCTAGTCCCACTGTCCAGATTTTCGTCGGGTCGCAACGAGTACAGTCGAAGACAAAAGACCGGACACATATTTTTATTCAAACTACATGTATTATTGTCGTTACATTAATTACAACATACTTATTTTAATATACCAAATTAACCGAGATCAAAAATGCGTTTTTATTTAAAAAAAAAAAATAATTTTAATGGTTTGGTAGAAAATTGATCAAAACACCGGAATATCATTTTTTGATATAATGAATTTAACAAATAATTTATTACATGGTTGTGCTCAAAATAATGCATTAAGAACAAAAGAGGCGTTGCGATTGTGATACTGATTTGTGACACACGCTGTGGACTGTACGTGGCGTGCGCTTGACGTCGGATAGATGTGCACACTACCAAAACGTGGCAAGGCATTTAGGCAAGGCAATTAGCATCGGGTTAGTGTGTTACCGGCTTTTTTTGGTAAACGAGCGATTCGTTGAACGATTCATTTGGTTTGGCGAACGAGTGAGTCAATGGATGTTTCATTTGGTGTAAGAGTGATCCATTAGAAACCTCACTTAGTGAGTGAATTTCACATTTGGTGAACGAGGAGTTATGTAAAGATTCATTTGGTATGATGAAGGAGTAAGCCAGTGAAAGATTCATTTGGTTTGCCGAACGAGTGATCATTGAAAACTCACTTAATATAAGTTAATGTCATATCGTAAACGACAGTTTACGACTCATTTCGTTTTCTAAAGGAATGAATTATTGAACAACTCTGTGAATGAACGTCTTGTTAGGTGAGCGAGTGAGCCATGGAACAACTCAGTTTGGTAGTATAAACGTTTAAAGACTCGTTAATAAGAATTGAGTCATTAAACGACTTATTTGGTTTGGTAGACGAGTAATCTTTTAACAAGTCCGTGAGTGAACGTCTCAGTGAGCGAGTGAGCGAAGGAACACAACTTAGTTTGGGAGTGAACGGCATATTTGATGAACGATTGATTCATTGAACGACTCATTTGATTGGTCAACATGAGAGTGAACGGATCAATAATTGCGTGAGTTAACTGCTCCTTGGTGTACGACTGAAGGCGTTCACTCATTTGATTGACCAACAGGTAAAAGAGTGAACGACTCAATAATCGAATAGTGAACGTCTCAGGTGAGCTATGAAGAACTGAGAGTTCCGTTGCTCATTTGATGAACGAGTGAGTTATATAAAGATTCACTTGGTATGATGAAGGAGTAAGTCAGCGTACGACTCATTTCCTTTTGTGAAAGAGTGAATTGTTGAACAATTCAGATAGGAGATAAGAGAGTAGAACAGGTAAGAGCTTGAACAATAATCGAATGAGTGAACGTCTCATTAGGTGAGCAAGTGAGCCATGGAACAACTCAATTGGGAGTGAATATCTCATTTGATGAACGAGTGAGTTATATAAAGATTCATTTGATATGATGAAGTAAGTCAGTGAACGATTCATTTCGCTTGGCAAACGAGTTGAGTGAGAGGCACTGAACAAGCCGGTGAGTGAACGTCTCATTAGGTGAGCAAGTGAGCCATGGAACAACTCAATTGGGAGTGAATATCTCATTTGATGAACGAGTGAGTTATATAAAGATTCATTTAGTATGACGATCAGTCGGTGAACGATTGAACGACCAATACCATGTACTATAATCCAAAATAATGTTGCAGGTTTTCGCCATGCTCACAGTCGCCGACATGACGGTGCCTCTCGTCTCGGGCATCGTCTACACGCAGGTATACAATTTGACCCTCTCAACACACCCCCAGGCGATTTTTTACGTCACCGCTCTCACCCAGGCCGGAGTATTTTTCATAGCGATGTAAGTTAAAAAAAACAAAAAAAAACGAAAGCGACCTTTTTTTTACATTTTTCCCCTATTTTTTCCAGTTTTGTAAACATCTTGTTAGAAGGGAGGAACCTTAATCAGGAGGTTGAATCCAGCGATGACGAAACTACTGCGGACATCAACGTCCACGCATAACCCCCCCTCCTGTTGTTAATAGTTAATTTATATGTATAATAAAAAAAGAGTAAATTTAAATAATATAGTAATGAATATTCTTATATTATATATATTATTGTAGTTTTACTCTTGGGTGAACGACTCGCTGAAAAAGTCCCGCATTTAATCAGTGAGCGAAGTAGACAACGTGCAACTGAACGATTCATCTAGTTATGGAGAAAAGTGTTCTGGTGAACGTGGGAGTAACTAAACGATTCATTTAGCGATTGAACAAAACAATAATTCAGTTAGCGAGGGGTCATCGAATTCGCTTAGAGCACTAGTGAATATTTGTATAATCGTGAACTGTGGAAGGAGTCATTTATGACAATCTTTCATTGAACCATTCTTCTAGTGAGCGACTCATTGATCGAACGGACTGAACGATTTGCTTTAGGAAAATATGAAACAAGTCATTTACTGAGTGATTCATGGATCTATAATTTCAGTGGGGCAACTGAACGATTCGTTTGGTGAGGTTTAACGAGACATTTACTGAACGATTCGCTTGACGAAGGGGAAAAACACGTTATTTGCTGAATGATTTATTTACCGAGCGAACTTCTTGAATGAGCCATTTATTGATGTGAACAACCGAACGATACAGTCCGTGAGCAACTGAACGATTAGTTCGGTGAGCAGTCGAGTCATTTTCTCATCTGAACAACCGAACGATACTACCCGTGAGCCACTGAACGATTAGTCCAATGGACAGTCAAATGAGCCATTTATCAATCTGAACGATTGTTCGGCGAGCAATTGAACAAGCCATTTATTGTCTGAATAAACGAACGGTATTATCCGTGAGCAACTATACGATTCGTTTAGTGAGAGGTGTAACGAGACATTTACTGAACGATTCGCTTGACGAAGGGGAAAAACACGTCATTTGGTGAACGATTTATTTACCGAGCGAACTTCTTGAATGAGCCATTTATTGATGTGAACAACCGAACGATACAGTCCGTGAGCAACTGAACGATTAGTTCGGTGAGCAATCGAACGAGCCATTTATCGATCTGAACGATTGTTCGGTGAACAATTGGACAAGCCATTTATTGTATGAACAAACGAACGGTATTATCCGTGAGCAACTGAACGATTCGTTTAATGAGTGATGGAACAATACATTTGCTGAACGATTCTAGTGAGCGATTTGACATCCAGAATAGCATTAGAATACACCAGAGGTTGTACTACACAATACAGTCATAATTTTATTTTAATATAAACGTTTATTATTTTATACAAAAGGAAAGGGAAATGAAAATAATTTATATAAACCTTATAAATATTAACATAATCTTGTTTTTACACCAGACATTTTGTTGATGACTATATTTTATAAAATATAAAAAAAAGAAAACTAGTATGAACAAACAGATGTGGAAGGGAGGTGGTTTGTACATACAAGTCCGGCGTACTGTTTGCACCACGAGAATTAAACATACAAAAAATGAATAATTTTCTCATCACAATTTTGCAAAAACAAAAAAAAACTAACAAACAACCTCACACACTTTTATTCTCTTTCCTTGAGGCGTGTTTCGGGTGGAAAAAAAATTCAGCCTTATTGTTTTCTTTTTTTGTTGTTTTTAAACAATTTGGATAAATTAATACCCGCGACAACGGTTTACAGCTCGTCGTGATCCGTGTCGGCCGACTCCTCGGCTGCGTCCTCCTCGGCCGCCGGCTCTTCGAACTCTTCAACCTTCTCATCAGGAGATATCCCAAGTGTCTGCTTCACAAGCGACTCGACGCTGTCGGCAAAACTGGCCGTGTCCTGGAGCATGTAGCCAGATCGTAGTGTAGCTGGAAAAGGGTGAAAAAATATTAAACTGAGATTTCCTAGATAAATTAGATGGTTTGGATTTTGTCTTTCAGTCTTTATTGAATCACATATCAGAGATAAGTCAATGAAAGTTTGGTCAATCAATCATATTCGCTCAGACATGTCACTCACCAGTCTTGAAAAGTAGCTCAGCCGTATCTTTGGCGACGGGGTCGGTCGGGTTCTCCTCAACGAGGGCGAGGAGCCTCTTAACAATTGGGTGGCCCGGGTTGATCTCCATCGCCTTCCTCTGGTTCAGGTAGTAGCTGCGCTCAGTGCCGTCTGACTTCTGGTGAGCGTTGGATATCGCGAGCCTTTCCATGTTGCCAGACCAGCCGAAAACGGATGCGACGAGGGCACACGGTGAGTTGGTGAGACGGATAGAAACGGTCGCCTTCGAGATCTGCCGATGGAGAAATATTTTTTTTAGAAATTAATCCAACTTTTTAATATCATATTGCATACCTTGTCCTTGAGTACATCGTCCTGAAGCCATTTGATGAGAGGCTCGAATTTCTCCTTGGCGGCGTCGAGTACGGACTCGTCTTCAGGGATATAGAGGCCCTCTTTTGCAACATTCTGGAACTTCTTTCCTTCAAACTCGGGCAAAGATGATATGGCGTACTCGTCCACAGCCTCGACCAGGTAGACAACCTCGTAGCCCTTTTTCAGTAGCCTTTCGACGAAGGGTGATTTCTGTACCTCCTGCTTTGAAGCACCGGCTATGTAGTAGATGTGCTCCTGTTTCGGCTTCATCCTCGCCACGTAATCGGTGAGCGATGTCAGCTCGTTGCCCCTTGACGAGAAGAACATGAGCAGTTTTGCAAGTCTCGTTCTGTTCGCCGGGTCTTCGATGATACCGAGTTTCACGTTGGTCGAGTACTCTTTCCAGAACTTGTCCATGTCCTCTTTGCTCAGCTTCTTGATCATGTCGAGCGCCTTTCGCACGAGTTTCTTCTTAATCACCTTGAGCAGCTTGTGCTGCTGGAGGGTCTCTCGGCTCACATTGAGTGGGAGGTCATCCGAGTCGACGACGCCCTGAAGGAATGCAAGGTACTTGGGGAGCATGTCATTGAACTCGTCCGTGATGAAGACTCTCCTTACAAAAAGCTAAAAGAAAAAAAAAGTCCATCAGTCAGTCACTTCATTCGTAACTCAATCAACCATTCATTAATAATATAATCGTTGTTTTCTCACTACCACAAGTCTCTCAATCTCAGTTAGTCAGTAGTCCATTCAAGTCAATTATTTACCAGATGAATCAATAATTCATAAGTCAGTTATTTGTTCATTCAAATCAATAGTTCACCAGTTGAGCCAATAATCAATAGGTCAGTTATTACATCATTTTGTCTGTCATTCACCAGATGATTCGATAATCATTAGATCAGTTACTAGTTCATTCAAAACAATAATTCACCAGTTGAGTCGATAATCAATAGTTCGGTCATTACTTCACTCAAATCAATAATCATTAGGTGAGTCATTAGTTCGCTCAAATCAATAAATAATTCACAGACGAGTCAATAATAATTTGGTAAATCATTAATTCACTCAAATCAATAATCCACCAGTTGAGTCGATAATCAACAGGTCCGCCATTAGTCCACCCAAATAAATAATTCACCAGATGAGTCAATAATACTTTGATAAGTCATTAGTTCATTCTGTCTGTCATTCACCAGATGATTCAATAATCGTTTGGTCAGTCAATGGTTCATTAAAGTCCATCGTTCATCTGATGAGTCAATAATCATTTGGCCAGTAATTAGTTCATTCTGACCATCATTCACCAGATGATTCAATAATTGTTAGTTCACTCAACTCAATCATTCACCAGATGAGTCAATAATCATTTGATCAGTCTCTAGTTCACTCACGTTTAGGTTCATTAGGTCAGTCAACAGATCATTCATAGATCATCGCAGGCCACTAATTGCAACTCTCTTGCCCTCGTCATCCACAAGATCAGTCACCCAAGTTTTTTTAGCCATCAATATATGTACTACTGACAAGTTGTCTCAGTCATTCGACACATCTGTCAGTTATATATATAGACAATCATTTTTGTATTTGTACCTTGATGTGGTCCGTAGCTGTGCCATATTTATTGAAGCTGTCGCTTGGCTGCGTAGCCGGTACGAAAAGTAAGCCTTTGAAAGACACCTCGCCCTCAGCGACGAAGTGCGTGTAAGTGAGCGGGTCTGCCTTGTCTTTGGTCAACGCCTTGTAGAACTGTTTGTACTCATCATCTTCAACATCTGACGGCCTGTCAAAATAACGACAATAATATATTTTAATAAACAATTTAGCAGGGGGGAGGGAACTAGTCGTAATTACTTTCGTGTCCAAAGGGGTTTGTTGTCATTCTGCTTCTCCCAGTCCCAGACCGTTTTCTCAACCGTCTTCGTCTTCTTCTCGTCCTCCTTCTCCTCTTCAATCTCGACATCGTCGCTGTCTTCGTCCTCGTCCTTTTCCTCCTTCACCGGCTCCTTTTCCTCGACTGGCTCTTCGACCTTGACCTTTTTCTCGGCCCAGAGGAAAATCGGGAAATTGATGAACTGTGAGTACTTCTTGATCAGGTCCCTGAGCACCTGAACGTCGAGGTAGTCAGCGGCTTCGTCTTTCAACTTCAAACTGGACAAACCAGAAAGAAAAATTATAAACAAAAAAAAGTAAATTTAAGATAAAAAAAGTCTTTACACTTCTTATCCTCAAGTAACCTAGTAAATAATGAAAGTCAGTTATTCAAAAAATGAGACGATAATCATTTGGTCAGCCAATCATTTTTCAAATGAGTCAATAATCATTAGGTTAATCAGTAGTTCATTCGTGTCATGATCAGTCATTCGCCAGTCATTAGTTCACTCAATCATTCAATAGATGAGAGAATAATTATTAGGTCAATCACCAGTTCATTCTCACCAAATGAGTCAATAATCACTGGGTCGGTCAAGAGGTTGACCTCTGTCATTCATCAGGAAAAATATAAAAATTATTTTATATAACAGAAAAAATTCTTTACACACCTTATCCTTGTTCCTCGCTTGAGTGTGTTGCCTCTTGGGTCTTCGCCGATTGAAAAATTGGTTGCGTCCGACTCCCAGATGTACTGCACATCATCAACATGCTTTGTGGTCACCATAACCGTATCGGCAACTATAAAAACAAAATAAAACACGATAAAAAAAAATTATATATAATATAAAAATACAATTCACATTTTTTTTTCCAAACGTACCAAGAAAACTGGAATAAAAGCCAACGCCAAACTGCCCGATCATATCCAACGTGTCTTGGTTCGACGTGCCGCCCTCTTGGATCCTGTTGAGGAACTCGGCGGTGCCGGATTTTGCGATTGTCCCAAGGTTGTTCACGAGGTCCTGTTTCGTCATGCCGATCCCGGTGTCCGTGATATGGAGCATCTTGTTCTCTTTATCGGCCTGAAAAGAAGACAATGCATGAACATTTTTCCTTTTAATAATAAAATGAAATGAGGAACATACCATGATTTTGATCGAGAGTTCGTTCGTTGGCTGCAAGACGTTCGGTTCAGTCAACGACAGAAGTCGTATCTTGTCCAGAGCATCTGAAGCATTGGAAATCAACTCTCTTAAAAAGATCTAAAAAAGAAGAAAAAAAAATCAAGATTACTATTATTTTTTTTTTTTACATTTATTTATTTTTTTATTTACCTCTTTGTTCCTGTAAAGCGAGTTGATGATCAGCTTCATCATACGGTTAACCTCGGCCTGGAAAACAAATTTTTCAGCCTTTTCTCTCATTTCTTTCATCTGTGCGACATTCAGACTGTCGACTTTGATCGCCTCCTCCTCCCTCTTGACCGCCCAGTCATCTGGAAAAGTGAGTTTTCAACTTTTAAAACATCTCAAGAGTTTTGGATTTTCCGATAACGATGTTTCTTTTTGTCAGAACATTCATATGAGGTGCACTGAGAATTGTTCGCTCTTTTGAAAGCTTTTTTTTATTATTTTGGCATCAAAAAATTATACAGCCATGTTACAAAGAATATATACAATTTAAACAGTTCATATTATATTTTCACAGACACATCATTTAAAAATTTTATTATCAAATTATACACACTGGGATTCTTGAATAGAGCTCTACTTTCCGTAGTTGGGTGTTCTACTCCTTCTTTCTCCAGATCCTGGTAGAATTTATTCCTGGCTGACGAATGTTGGCTGCAGTGAAACATTATGTGCATTAGGTCCTCCTTTACTCTGTATGTGTCACAATTAGGGTGTTGTTTTATGCCAATCTTGTGAAGATAGGCACAGATGCCATGGTTTGTTCTTAACCGATGTATGATGGTCATTTTTTTTTGCCATGTCTAGTTTGTTAAACCGCGGTTTTATTTTCACAAGTGGAAATGGGTTTTGAACCATTTTTCAGATATTATGGCTATATGAATGTTTTCCGTTAGTAGACGTGTTTCTAAGATCTGTTTTTATTTTTTAAGGATCTAGAGTTCCATTGAAGAATTTTCAAGTTCACATTGATAACTAATAAATAATTTATAATTAAATAATTATCTACAAATCGGTACACTAAGTTATATACACTATTTACAAAATAGTTCTCGCTATTTTAAACAAGTGTCCAAGTGTCATTGGAATCTATCCCTGGAATTGATGGTTTGGCAATCAGCATTTTCATTATTTTTGATTCTATTGTCTGTAGGGAGATTGGTGAATTAACATTTTCTTTTTCTAGAGAACTGAAGATATTTTTAATTTTTGTAATTAAGCTATCATTTGATTGTTCGTTTTCGGGAGACGCGTGTTATATCCATTTCTATGTTGGAGACGATTTGTATTTAGCCCACGTGGTAAGTACAGGAGATTTGAGTTGGGCCGAGTCCTGGTTTTCTTGTTCATTTGATTGATATCTAGATTTATATGGGTCAAAACGTAGTTTTGGCCGTGGTCTGTGCACTTTGCTGGCTATTTTTGTGTTTTCATCGTATGAGGTTTATGGTAAAGGGGGAAATTCAAGCAGAGTGAACTTGTTAGATGTGACCACAGCGTATGAGTTGTTAAGAACGCTTTGTTTTTTATTTTTTGATTGTTCCAAATATACTGGACATGAACGATTTATAGCAATGTGACTTCCGGAACAGTGAACACATTTGGGACAGTTTTGTTTTATGCATATATTTGGGCCATGATTTTCTCCACAGAATATGCATCGAAGTTTACTTTGACATTGATCCGATCTATGACCATATCGGAGACAATTTGTGCATTGTTTGATTGGAGGAATGTAGGGATCTACTGGACATCTCATTCCATAAATATTTACGTGTTCGGGAAGAACTTGGGAATCGAATTCGATAAAGCATACTTTTAATTTAGTTGTTTTTACTTGATTATTTTGTCCAGGTTCTTTACATGTGATGCGGCGAAAGCTTTTAATTTTTATGGGGGATTGAATTACTTTCAAAATTTCTTCGTCGGTAAGATCTGGATCCACATTCCTTATAACTCCTGTTTTATGGATAAGAAATGAAGGGATATATTCAAGGAAAGGTTCCGAGAGTATTTTTTGCTCAAGAAGATTTTTTTTTTGCATAGGATCTTCATCCATAGCCGTGTCTCAAATATGGTATTAATTATCAACCAAGTTTTTTACTTTTTAAGCATGACATAGTAAAACATAAAAATTAAATAAATACAAAAATTAAAATAAATGTTTATTTTATTATTTGTTATTTATACGGTGAGATTACATGATTTTACAAATGAGACGACCTCGCTTATATATATTAGTTCCTTGACTCTAATATAGTGTGGTAACTAGATTATCTCTATTTATCCAGACAAGGCTGTAAATAATTTTTTCCTTTCCTTCTCATATGTAGAACAAATCATGATTAAATGTTCTATTGAACTCGGTTCCATACAGAGCTCGCAAATGTCTGTAGCAGATCTGTTTATTTTACGCATATCCCTAAACTTCAGATAATTTCCAAAAGGGTTAATAAATTGCTTGTCATTTTCAATATTAATTTCATTAACACCTATTCATTAATTTTCAATTTTAATTCATTGTATATTTTCTCCGCTACCTCCTAGATCATCCTCATCCTCTCAACCTATATCTGATTTCATTTATTCTATTAATACTTTATTTCAGCAATATTGTTTTCATTTAATAAATTATAAATAAATTCTTGATGTTGATATTCATTTTTTTGGGGGACACAGAAGTAGGAAACCCATTAGAGTGGCTACAGACCGGCATCTCTCGCACCGGTAAGGAGATTTGTCCTTTCAATTATTTAGAAAGACCCCTCCCCCCAACAACTACGATCATCCTGACTAAGTATTGCACAAATAATATCATTTATGTGTAATTTATTTCCCTATAGATAAAGTCTGTCATTTACATCAATTTACAAAATCAATTGTATAAATTGTCCGGCAACTTACATCGGAATTACATTCCAACAGTTGTATAAAAAGGTAAAACAACATATCTATGAATGACTCAAAATAATGTGTTATATAACACTTTTTATTATCCCCCCAAGCAACAGTTGGGTTATAAAGCGAGTTGAACTATAAAATTGATTATCATGCTAATCAACCGAAAAGATAAAGGTGCGAGGGGGGGGTGAGGCGAATAACTCAACCATGAAAAATCGCCCGTCACTGGTATTGGGTATAACCGCAATCGGCTTTGACATACAACGCAGACGATATCAAACAAAAAAGGCAGCATTTGAGGATTTTTAAATATAAAAGATTTAAAGCAAGAGAAAAAGAGAGAGAGAAGATACAAAAAAATTAGAATGTAACACTTACCTAGGTAAAAATACAAATATTGTGTAAATAAACATGTAAAAGAGAGGGGGAAAAAGACAAAAAGGGAAAAATAAAATGCAAACCATTGTTAAGGAATGTTTAAAAATTGAATTGCAAATTTAATGAATGGTAGACAATAGGAATGAGCTGGGATTCACTAAGCTTTGGAAGTATCCAGGTAACGCATACGGAACTCGGCAAGAACAGGACATATTGTTAAATAATTGAATATGTTCTCTCTTGCATTTAGGTTACAGAGAGAGCAACGGGTAATTTCTCGGTCCATCCATAGGGGCGTAGTAAATATATAAAAGTTCCCCTCTCAATTTGAACAGCCATCTTGATTCTCTAAGAGACTAACTACTGGGCGAATCATCATTCTCAGAAAACAACTCTGATTGAATGTTTAATTTCTTATAAAACAAAAACCTAGACGATGATATGGCACTAGTAGCCGCCTCTTTCCTATGATTCTAACCTATTTTAATTAATAATGTGGAGAGTTGCCATTTCCACAGATGTGCGGCTGAAAAGTCCGGATTGAATTCTCACAAATGCTTTTTGGCAAGACTGATCCAGGTTTTGAACCATGAAGTTCTCCTATTGATTATTTCAATTGCTAATATTCTCGGATGTCGAAATGATGGTAGATTTATAACTCGAGGCAATACTTGAAATGCAATGTAAGAATTTCCAGCAGGTCTACATTAGTTTCTAATAACATAAAATTGGGAGTAATTGTTGGTATAGCAAACAACTTCTTTATGAAAAATCTTAACGATTTTTTCTAGACTCTTAAATCTCCGATATTCCCAAATTTGTGAACCATAGCAGGCAATAGATCTAGCCACTGAGTTTAAAAGCTGATATTTTTTGGAAAGAAAGATCATTTTCTGTGCAAGGAAACCATTTAACATTGAGGGCCATCTCGCAGAAAAGACTCTCTTTAAAGTGTGACACAAAACAGAGGTGAGGAGTAAGGACAACACCCAAATACTTATAATCTTTTGATGATCTCAATTTGAGATGCTCCATAGCACTATCTCTCCTTTGAGGACAATATACCACACACATATTTTAGATTTTTCCAAGTTTACAGAGAGTCCCCATTAGTCGCAGTAATTTTTCAAAATGTTTATATTTGATTGAAGCCCATGGGGGTTTTCATCTATAAGTCGCTGATTATATACGACTTATGAATCCCACCTGAACCGAAGCAGAGATCCGATTCTAGAACTGTCAAAACACCGATGCGACTGATTGACGCATGCGTACCTAATTCAATCGACGGATACTTTTTATTACAAAAAAAAGCTGGTTTTAAGAAACACTGTAACAATTAAATAACTCACTTTTTGTTTTAATAAAAAACAAAAACCAACTGGTTGCCTGAGCCATATTCTAACCAAATTTTTATTATTATCTTTCTAAATAAATATGCATTAAAAAAATGGAAATGTAATTTTCAAAAAATTAAAGGATAAGGGACCAAAAAGTCGGCGACGTTTTCCAGAGTGGATCTGGTTTTTGTCAACCCCCTTATCGCTTATCGTGTTGAATTTTTGAAAATTCGATTTTATTTGCATTTATTTTTTAAATGATTAATTTATTTAATATAAAAGTTCAATAAATGTATAAAAGCCATACCGGTCTTTGAGGCGTCCCTGCTTTCTCCCAGGTCTTCTGCGACCGTGTTCCCATCGCCGGCCGGATCATCAGCCCTGGCAGCCGCTATAATTGATCAATTTCGACTTAAATTTACTTTCAATCGACATAAATAGGTAAAATTTCAAAAAAAAAAATTAATATTAAATAAATCACGACTTACCGACAAGGACGAGGAGGCCGAGTGCCAAAGCGAACACGTCTCTCGTTCTATGCGAACCCATTATTTTTTCTTTTCCTACGGTTTTTTCAACCGAGACTAAGGATGGAAAAGAATCCCGAAAATCGAGTTTCAAAACGACAAAAGGGTCGTTTTTTGTTTTTTTGAAAATACGTTCCACACAGTCTGACAGTAGCCGGCCAAATGGTAAAACACACTGAACGTGGTTCTACAACAAGAGTTCCGGATCGTCCAATCAGATTCCAACACGCAATTCGAACTGGCCAATCGCTTTGGACCATATGGGCCTCCCTGGCCAATGGGATCGCAATGGTACACGTACTACGTATGCGGGAAATTCAAATTTTCAAAAACGAAACATCGAAACAGTACAATAAAAAATAGAAAAAACATCAAAAGAAGTTCAACAATTTGTTTTTGTTCAAGAAGACAAGGAATAAAACGTTCAACTGCTCGTTCGTTTTGTTATTTAGTGAATCGTTCCGCTAATCGTTTGTTCAATCTGAGAATAGAACAGTTCAATGAATCGTTTCAATGTGTCAGTCTTTGACAAATTTAATCTCTCTCAGACTGAAAGAATCGATCAGTAAGACAATTGTTGGCAATGATTCTTTCAGTGATTCGGTCGTTTAGTGAGTTACTAAATGAATCGCTTCAAATTTTTTTCGTTCAGCGTGTCACTTACTATCATTCGGTGAGTCACTTAAATACACTTTGAATCAACGAATTTTCTGTGATTTGTTTGTATGGTGAGCACTCAAATAATCGTTTGTTCATTCAGTGAATCACTTATTTACTTTATTCAGTCAGTGAATCGTTCAGTCATACATTGATTCGGTGAGTCAATTAATTATTGAGCTAATGAATCGTTCTATGATTTGTTCGTTTGTTGAGAACTCAATAAATATTTTCCTGATTCGTTCGTTCAGCAAGTCACTCAATTACTAGTGATTTATTCGTTTGGTGAATTATTAAATGAATCGTTCCAAAAATAGTTCGTTCAGTAAATCACTCAAATACTGCTTTTGTTAATGAATTGTTTAGTGATTCGTTTGTTCGGTAAGTCATTTAATTACTTACTTAGCCAATGAATCGTTCTATGATTTGTTCGTTTGTTGAGTCACTCAATAAATCTTTTCTTAATTTGTTCGTTCAGGAAGTCACTCAATTACTAATTCAGCCATTGCATTGTTAAGTAATTCGTTTATTTGGTGTCTCACTAAATTACTATGTAGTTCAACCGACGGATCATTTAGTGATTTGTTCGTTTGGTGAGTTATTAAATGAATCGTTCCAAAAATATTTCGTTCAGTAAATCACTCAAATACTGCTTTTGTTAATGAATTGTTCAGTGGTTCGTTCGTTCGGTAAATCACGTAATTACTTATTAAACCAATGAATCGTTCTATGATTTGTTAGTTTATTGAGTCACTCAATAAATCTTTTCCTAATTCGTTCGTTCAGCAAGTCACTCAATTACTAATGATTTGTTCGTTTGGTGAGTTATTCAATGAATCGTTCCAAAATTAGTTCGTTCTGTAAATCACTCAAATACTGTATTTGTTGACTTGTTCAGTGATTCGTTTGTTCAGCGTGTCAAATATTTATTTTTCAGTCAGTGAATCGTTCGGGATCGATTCTACGCCAAAAGTCGTTGTTCGTTGCTGTGTCACTCCATGAATCGTTCAGTTATTCGTGTAGTGATTTTTTTTCGTTCGGACAGACTCTTAATTACGACTTCAATCAATAAATCTTTCTTGGACGTTCAGTGAACCATTCAATTGCTGTTTTAATCAATGAATTGTTCATTTGTTTAATTTAGTGAATCACCTATTTATTTATTTTTAGTTATTCTAGTCTAGTTATTCATTAGTCACTAAGCCAATAAAACTTTTTGTGACTAGTTCGTTCCTCTTTCACTCAATGAATTTTTCAGTTATTGTTCGTTTAGTGAGTTACCTAATTATATCTTCACTCAATGAATCGTTCAGGTATTCGTTTGTTCCGCGAATTACTCAAATACACTTTCAGCCTTTGAATCTTTTAGTGATTCGTTCGTCCAATGGTTCACTGATATACTACCTAATTGTAGTCAATGAATCGTTCAGGTATTCGTTTGTTCGGCGAATCACTCAAATACATTTTCAGCCTTTGAATTTTTCAGTGATTCGTTCACTGATATACTACCTAATTGTTTTAATTTGATTATTTTTAAATAATCTTAATCAATCTTTCTGATCTGTGGTTCGTTCGTTCTATGAGTCACAAACAGTCGAGAAATTGGTCAGTAATTCTTTCATGTCATGTGATTCAATGAATCGTTCAGGTATTGGTTTGGTCGGTTAATCATTCAATTATTCGTTCGGCGAGTTATTCAATGAATCGTTCTCTCTTTTATGATTTTGATCGCATTAATTGTCGCTTTCATGCTAATAGCTTCGGTTTTTGAAATTACCAATTAATTAATTAATCGCTCCATGATTCGTTCGTTCTCATTGAATTTCTACCTACTTGAGTCAATGAATTGTTCAGAGATTCGTATGTTCTGTGAGTCACTGAAACAGACAGCCGATAAGTAATTCTTTTATTTGATGTTGTGACAAAAAAAAAGGGTTTTATAATATCATGTTTGTAAGAGAGGAAAGTGTTTTTTTTGCCCCAAAATCAAATTTTTATTTTCTCGCCTCGATCAGCGACCTTTTCTTGTAAGGAGGTCTGTAACCTGGTTATAAGATGGATAAATTTTTATTATTAATTAAAAAACCATTGTACGTAGGAAATTGGTGAAAATCAACAATGAGTGTTTTTATTAAGAGTGTGTATTTAGTGGGGATTAAGCGAGCCAGAGGTCGCCGAGGAAGACAGTGCGGTAAACACCTACGATTTGCCAACTGATAAAGATTCTCCGGAAATCGGCTCGTCCGGATTTTTCTTCGTGAGTATTTCCATTTTTGGAATTTCTACCGGGCGCCTTCCTCACCAGACCACGGCGACGAGCGAGGACGGTGAGCGTTCGTGGTTTTCCGAAAGGATATAAAGGCGGTCCCGATTCTCCGGAGATTTTCTCTTTTTTGGAGCGGATTTCGGCAGGACTGGAACCCAGGAGGACTCGGCGGATGGTTGTGGCTGGATCAACGATTCCCAAGTAAATGTGTTGGTTTACGGAAAAGACTGCATGAAGAAGGAATTTTTGTTTGTTTTAATTTTAATGATTTATTATTGTTAATTTAGGTTATTAAGTTTTTTTTTTTAAGTTAGTCCAGATCTGGTTTATGGTTTATTTTGTGGCTGATTAAGGAAACAAAGTACCTATTTTAATTTTACTGTTTAGGAATAATAAATCCCTCTATTTAGGGATGGTTAACATGCCCCAGCAGAAACAAAGGTAGAGAGGAATTATATGAGAATTTAAGAAAGCACGGAGTAGCGTTCCCAACAAATATAGCAACTATTAAATTCACTAATTTCGTGGTCCGCTTGACCAATTAATACATTACAATTAATTAAGGTTTTTAGCTGATGAAAAAAAGTTAATGGCACGAGCGGGATTCGAAACCATGATCTTCGGCTAGATACGCCGCTGCTCTACCACTTGAGCTATCGTGACCTCGATCCATTTTCATCTCAACTAAAAACCTTAATTAATTGTAATGTATTAATTGGTCAAGCGGACCACGAAATTAGTGAATTTAATTATTAAAATGAAGTACACTTCACTAAAGCTCTCCGTCGCCATTCCATTTGTCGTCGAGAATCCAATCCGATTACACATTTGAAAAATGGCAAAAAGGAGAGAAAACTCATAAGGTGGGGTTGAGATAGGAAGTTGATGTCCGAGTGGATCGAGGTCACGATAGCTCAAGTGGTAGAGCAGCAGCGTATCTAGCCGAAGATCCTGTGTTCGAATCCCGCTCGTGCCATTAACTTTTTTTCATCTCAACTAAAAACCTTAATTAATAGCAACTGTATTGAGCGACACTAAAAATATTCCAGTATTTGACAGTTTAATGACCTTTATAAAAAAAGAATGACGTCAAAATATAAAAGACAACATGTAGTGAAAGAAACACAGTAAATTCTGTAGACTGCGGCGACGCCGAAGGAAAACGTATGGCCGATGCATTGATGCAGCCAAAGGAAAAAAAATCCCTCCTTTGTTAAGTGGATTCTCATTTTTTTTTTCTCTCCCTCCTTATTAATCTACTTTTTTGGCTTGATTATTTTGCATGGCCAGGTACCTCGTAAATACATAAATAATCATTTAAGCAGAGGGAACTCGAATGCGATAAGAAGGTAAAGTTGCTGATCAGGACCCGCCGTGTTAGGCTGGCTTTATCCGGGAGCCCTAGTACCTATTTTAATTTTACTGTTTAAGAATAATAAATCCCTCCATTTATGGATGGTTAACATGCCCCAGCAGAAACAAAAGTAGAGAGGAATTATATGAGAATTTAAGCCTGGAGTGCCCCCCCCCCCGTGGGGAATGTCCGCCATGGAATAAAGTAAATCATTTATTTTTTTATAGAAAATATTATACTACTTTCCTCTCCTATATTGATTGATTTATTTGTTTATTTATTTATTTTTATCAAATTTATTTAGAGTACAAACAAGAATATACTTTTAGTTAAAGGAGTTCCCCATTCCCCCAGTCCACTCTGGACGCATAAAATGGGGTGGCGCCCAACTCACCAATATTTCTTTGGTTTTTAATATTTCTTTTATTTTTGTTTTGTTTTTTATTTATTTTGTAAATTGTCTCTCCAGTCTTAACCCCCCCCCCACTCACGACGAGCTACCGGGATAAATTTTGCTCTGACCCGAAATAATTTTGGGTGTAACAATGTGTAATTCAACGAATCGTTCTTTGAGTCGACCAATTAGATCTTCACTCAACGAATCGTTCAGGTATTGGTTCGGTCGGTTAGTCATTCAAATATTAGTTCAATCGACGAATCATTTTGCGATTTGTTCCATCCGTACGTCATTCGACATATGGTGTTCGGTTATTCGTTCGTTCAGTGAGTTATTCAATGACTCGTTCTCTCTTTTATGATTTTGATCGCGTTAATTGACGCTTCCATGCTAATAACTTCGGGTTTTTTGAAATTATTAATTACTTTCGAGTCCTTGGGCGGAGTTCGCAGTAAAGTTTATAACATGTTTCAACAAATGAGCTTGCAATTTCGGTCAAAGTCGGTTGGGGAAAATCCCCGGAAAATTTATGAACAAAAGGTAGAATTACCTTAATGAAAGGCCTGACCGGTCATCAATTACTCCCCCTTCGTGTGGGGGCATTGTATAAATTTCAAAAATGTCACTTACATAGTGCAGACGCTGTCAAAATGTTACGTCTCGCTGTCATGTTCGCAGCGTTCTACCTGGGCCTCACGTCCCCGGTCGAACATATCGACTACCAGAAGGTCTTCGAGGAGATAGACCCGGACCTCATACTCGACAACGAACGACTCCTTAGAGCATACTTGAGGTGCTTTTTCGACGAGGGACCTTGCAACGTCCACCAGCAGGCCGTCAAAGGTGAACTATAGAAAATAATTCAGACGAAGCATGAACCCCTTACAACTCCTTCCTGCTCTTTCTGGCCCATCTGCAGATGCAAGAACGATTTATACATTATAGAATACAGTATAGAAAATGTTCGTTATTTTGTACATCCTTTGGTCACATTAAACTTTATTAGGTTGGTCGACATGTCATTAACGATAAATGACCGAAGAAGATTAAATTTAAACAAACTAGGAAAGTATATGTCTAGCTCAATTGTTCGCTCGTTCTTTCGGTCAAGAGGATTCGTTCGTTAAGTGAGCCAATAGTTCGTACAGGCGCCTCCATCCGTGATGCATTCTTTCGGCTGCTGACTCGTTCACTGTTCGGTCATAAATTGACTCAATTCAAAACCATTTTTAAATTTATTTACTGTTATTATTTTTCCGATTGCAGACCACATTTCGACGGTGTTAAGTACTGTCTGCGGCGAGTGCTCGGAAAAGCAGAAGGGAATATTCAAGCATTCTTTGAACAAGTTCATACCCGCTCACGGCGAGGACTGGGCCCACATGCTGAGGATCTACGACCCGGATGGCTCCTACTGGCCAAACGTAAAGGCGTTCATTGAATCGTGAAGGACCAAAATTATCGACAGTGAAATGGGAAAAATATAGCTGTAATCAAAATTAACAATAACATGGTATTAAATATATGTTTTTTTTTCTTTTTTTTTAACTTATACAGTCTCTCAGTGGCCCCCGTCACAATAAATCTTTCGTTTTCAACGAGCTAGCTTTCGTAGGTCGTTCAATGAATTGTACAGTGATTCGTTCCTTCGGTAAGTCACTCAATCACTTCAATGGATGAATCGTCGTTACGCGATTCGTTCTTTCCATGATTTATAAAATTTCACTCGTTGAGTTTTTAGGGACTCGTTCGTTCAGTGAATCATTCAAATATTGTTTTCAAAAATTGTTCAGTGATTCCTTCGTTTGGTAAGTCACTCAACGAATCGATTACTTATTCGTTCGTTCGGTATGACATTCAGTGAATTATTCAATAATTCTTTCATTTGATGAGTAACTCAATGAATAGTTGTAGTGATTTGTTCGTTTGGCGAGTCACTAAATTACTCATTAAATCAATTAAAAATCCCGAGATTCGTTCGTTCACTGAGTCGTTCAAAAACACTTTCAGTCGATAAATTGTTCAATGATTCTTTTGATTGTTGAGTAACCGACGAATCTTGTAGTGATTTGTTTGTATGGTGAGCCACTCAATGACTTAATGAATGAATCGTTACTTGATTCGTTCTTTCAGTGAGACATTAAAGTATTCTTCCAGTCGATGAGTTTTCCAGTGACTCGTTTGTTCAGTGGATCATTCAAATACTGTTTCAGTCAAAACTTGTTCATTGATTCGTTTGTTCGGCAAATCACTCAAATACACGTTCAATCAGTGACACTCGAATGATTCGTTCATTAGATAAGTCACGTAATCATTAATTTTTCGGGTCGTGAATTTTCGAATGATTCGTTTATTCGGTGTGTCATTCAATTACTACTTTAGCAAATCACGCAAATATTCTTTCACTTAATAAATCGCTCCGTGATTCGTTCGTTCAATGACTCACTAAATTACCAGTTGTCAATGAATCGATTCTGAAATTTCAATTCAAACACTGTTAATGCTCATTATTCAGTTCTTTGATTAAGTACTAAATGAATCGTTCAGTGATTTGTCCGTTTGGCGATGGACTTAATGAATAAACTAAAGACAATGAATTATTCAGTGATTCGTTCGTTCAATGTGACGCTCAAATACTCTTTCGATGAATGCGAGTAAATTTAGTAATTCTTTTGTTTGATGAATAACGCAATGAATTCTTTCAGTGAATCGTTCAATTCTTCAACGAATGAATTATTACGTGATTCGTTCTTTCAGTGAGTCGTTCAATTATTGTGCGGATGAATTTTTAGGTGATTCGTTCTTTCAGTGAGTCGTTCAATGCTTGAACGAATGAATCGTTACGCGATTCGTTCTTTCAGTGAGTCGTTCAATTCTTGAACGAATGAATCGTTACGTGATTCGTTCTTTAAGTGAGTCGTTCAATTCTTGAACGAATGATGAGTCGTTCAATTCTTGAACGAATGAATCGTTACGTGATTCGTTCTTTAAGTGAGTCGTTCAATTCTTGAACGAATGAATCGCTACGCGATTCGTTCTTTCAGTGAGTCATTAAAATATTCTACCAGTCGATGAGTTTTCCTGTGACTCGTTCGTTCAGTGAATCATTCACATAGTATTTTAGTCAAAAATTGTTCAGTAATTCGTTCGTTTAGAAGACACATAATTACGCCTTCGATCAATGAGTTGTACAGTGATTCGTTCGTTCGGTGTCACTCAGCTAATTAAATCAATAATTCTTTCGTTGTAGTGATTTGTTCGGCGAGTCTCTAAATTACTCCTTAAATCAATTAAATATTCCGAGATTCGTTCGTTCACTGAGTCGTTCAAAAACACTTTCAGTCGATAAATTGTTCAATGATTCTTTTGTTTGGTGAGTTAGTCGACGAATCTTGTAGTGATTTGTTCGTATGGTGAGTCACTGAATTATCCGTGCCGGTTCAGTTACAGCTGTGTTTAATTGATCTTTGTTTTTATTTTTATTACTTTTTAATGGGTAGCTGTTTAATATATTAGTTGTTTAACTTTAAACAAAAAATACATATATATAGGTATACATCGAGTGTTGGTTTGTATTTGAAATTGTCGGCGGGAAGGCTTTGAGTGTTTTTTCTCCCCTCCACGTAGCGAGATGTCGTTCCGTACGGTTTCCAGCTGAGTCCCGTTCGGCCATTTCTCAATTCTCAGTTTTGAGTCGAGTGCGTATCTGTGAGTGCGCGAGGCGGTGATCCGTGAACGGTCAAACGGGTTGGCAATCGAACCAGGCGAGGTCTGTGAGCCGTTTGTCGTTTTTCAAAGGTGGTAAAGGTGTTAAAAGTCAGTTTGTCCGGATGCCGCCGCGTTTCTAGCCGAAGGGGGTTTCCAGCGTCCCGCGACAATCCCGAGGGAGGCCCGCGTCCAGTTGTGCTCGCCCGCGAGACCGTCTCCGCCATCCGCCACCCTCCCAGACGGACAGAGGACCGGGACACGGACGAAGAGTGCAACGAACGGGGCGACGGATGGACGCCGGCGAGGGGCAGTGCGACTGCGGCAATGGGTGTGGTTGCGACTCGGGCAGCATCACGATATCCGTGACCCCGACGACCGGCGGCCAGTTCGAGCTGGCCGTCACGAGGGCCGATTCAATCGAAAGCTTGAAAAAGCTCATATCGAAAAGGCTGAAAGTGCCCAAGGAAAGGATCTGCCTCCTGCACAGGGAGAGGTGAGCTTGAAACTCGACGGCACAGGGGCCAACTCCATTTTGTTTCCATTATTGCTCCACCGCACTCCCTCATACTGATATCTACTCTTAAAACTAAAAAAAATCCCCTTATAACACACAAACAAAACATTACATCAAACTATTTCACTAAATAAACAAACCAGTAAATCAAATAAAGATTTAGGCCTACATAAAAAAAACCTATTTATAAACAAACATTGTTTACCATAGACATTTTATACCACTCACACACAAATTCTAATTAATCACTTAAAAAAACTTTTAAAAAAACTTTAAAAAATCATTAGTTTTGTCACAAAAGTAAAAATCGTAACGGGTCTGTTGGTCAATAATGGAAAGACCCCCTCCCCACCCTTTACCATCATAAAAAAAAACAATCTCAATTTATTATAAATTGAAGAACAAAATAAGAAATTTATTCCGAGGAAAGGTTGAAAGGAGACGAAATGGAAGTGTAAAAAAAACGGTACAAATGTTTACTGGTTCGTATCATAACGGTGGCCCGTTGGTCAATAGACGCGAAAGTCTGCACGGGCGAAATCCTTCATAAAGAGAAGGTTATTTATTCATTCAATTTATTTATTCATCGTCAGATACTTTAATTAATTAATTTATTATTATTATTATTAAACGAGGGGGGAGAAATTGCCGGTTGGCCGGTCAACTATTTGGCCAATTTTTGTTCTTCGGTCGAATTTTTGAAATTGGACAGCAAAAAAAATTGACATTTCCAATTTCGGTCAGTAATAAAATGGTGTATTTTTTCGTTTTGCCCAATTCGATCAATAACAAAAATGGTGGATTCTTTGTGTGTGTCTTTTCCAATTCGTTCAATAACGAAAATGGTGTTGTTTTTCTCCCCCGATTTGCCAGATTCGGCCAATAACAAGTTTTTTCCCAGTTTGGTCAATAACAAAAATGGTGGATTTTTCCCACATCGGTCAATAATAGACATGGTTTACTTTTTTTTTTCTTAATTTGGTCAATAACGAAAATGGTGGTCGGTTTCTCACGTTTTGCCAGATTCGTTCAATTTCAGAAATTATGTATTTTTGTTTGTCTTAGTTTGGTCAATAACATTAATGGTGGTTTTCCAAGTTTGGCCAATAACAAAATTGGTGGATTATTTTTCTTTTTGAGTTTTGCTATAAATTCGGTCAATAACAAAAATGTCCTCTAAAATAATGTATTCTTTGTTTTTAATGTTTATGTGTTGTGTATGTGTGTTTTTTCCTAGTTAGATCAATAACAGAAATTGTGTATTTTTTACTTCCCTAGTTTGATTAATAACAAAAATGGTGGTTTCTTTATGCGTTTTGCTCAATTCGATCAATAACAACAATTTCCCTTCCCTACGTTTTATTGGATTCGGTCAATAACAAAAATTGTGTATTTTCTCGTTTTGCCCCTTTTGTGGCCAATTAAAAAAATAATAATGTATTAATTGTTTTTCATGTTTGTGTGTTGTGTATGTTTTTTCCTAGTTAGGTCAATAAAAGAAATTGTATATTCTTTTTTCTTTCCCTAGTTTGGTCAATAACAGAGGCTGGTGGCTTTTGTTCAGTTTTGTCCGATTCGGTCAATAACAAAAATTGTGTATTTTCACGTTTTGCCCGTTCTGGTCAATTAAAAAATAATGTATTTTCTGTTCATGTTTGTGTGTTGTGTTTTTTCCTATTTATGTCAATAACAGAAATTGTGTATTCTTTTTTTTGTTATTTCCGTAGTTTGGTCAATAACGAAACTTGTTTTTCTCTCTCGTTTTTCCCGTTATGGTCAATTAAAAAATAATCTATTGTTTGTTTTTCACGTTTGTGTGTTGCGTTCTTTGTTAGGTCAATAACAGAAATTGTATTTTCTCCCCCCTTCTTTCTTCAAGACTTGCTCAATTCGGTCAATAACAAAAATATCCCCTACCCTTGTCTTGTCCGATTCGGTCAATAGGTCAATTAAAAAATAATGTTCTTTGTTCTTCATGTTTGTATGTTCTTGTGTATGTGTTTTTTTCCTAGTTTGGTCAATAACATAAATTGTGTTGTTGTTTTTTCTTTCCACATTTTGCTCAATTTAGTCAATAACATGGTGTTACCTATTCTTTCTTCTCCCAAGATTGGTCAATAACACTGGTGTCTTTTGTTCAGTTTGGTCCAATTCGGTCAATCAATTGTTAACGTTTTTCGTGGAGGTCAATATTGATTTCTTATATTTTTCTACAGCCTTGGCACTATAATTATTTAAATGTTTTAAAGACCCGTTATTTATTATTACCGTTATCATCGTTATCACGTTTTTGCTTTTAATTATGTTTTTGAGAACATGCAGTTGGTCAATTTTGGTCGGGCGTCTTGCGCCCTTAGGGCGAGGTCGTTTATCTGGCCAGTTTGGTGACTCATCCATATTGTTGAAATTTTGAGCAAAACAAAAGAAAAATGTTTTGGTCCAAATTCGGCCATTAACAAAAAGTGCTTAAGTGCAGTTCTTTTCGTTCTTTTATGTACGTCAATTTTGATTTTTTTGTTTTGTTTTTTTACATGTCAGCACTGTATTGTAAAAATTAAAGGTTAAATTTTGTTTAACAACTTGGTCGAAATAATGGATTAAAATTAGTAAAGGTTTCGACCTAGATTCCGACCTACACCGTGATTATGAAACTGATAGTTTTTATTATTATTTTTATTGTAATGGCTAAGTCTTTTTGACCCAGATTAAGGTTTCATAAAGGTAAGGGTGATGTTTGTTTTTATGGTGATGTGGGGCAAAATTTGATTTGTCGACAGATAAATTTGTTAAATATGAATCAATAGAACTTTTTTTATTAAAAAAAAAAAAAAAAAAATAATATAAAGCAATTTTTTATCTTATACTATTAATTATATTTAAATATTTAACTGAAATGTAAGGTTTGATAAATGTAAGGTTATATTTTTAAGTCAAACTTTTCCAACTAAAACATTTCGTTTGTTCAGATTAAACATTTCGTGCTTGTCGGTTTGGGCTAGATTGAGGGGTGACCCCCCGGACTCTGAGATCAAAGAATCTCCAGCGAGCTTGGAGGAGGTGTCGATGGTGACTAGACACCGACCCCTCCTCGATAAAGCCCTGCGCACAATATTAAGATTAAAAGCATCAGCTGCGAGAGATCCATGGGGTTCCTTTCTTTCCAAGCCTGGGGCTGCCACTGTGCCGGGATTTGCAGGGGCTTCGCTCTGATGGGGCCGGGCTGTACCATTTAGTATAGACTCAAGGCTTAATGACCAATAACAAAAAAAATTTTTTTTGTGAAAATGATTATTTGTCGGCTTGTAAAATAAGTTCTGTATCATTTTTTCAATCCATTATATCCTGTTTGAGTGTTTTGAGGTAATGTTAGCCATTTGTTATTTACACACTTTAATTGATTGACTTTTTTTCCCAAATTATCATTTACTTCGAAGACTCACTTTGTTTTTTAATGATATTTCTTACCGATGAGATTGGAACAGTGATTTTTCATTTAGTTATGTCTGTTAAAATGCCATTGCGATAGGATGATACAGACGATTGACAGCTTTGTTAAAAACTGCCATCGTTTATATCACACTGGTGAGCCATAATGGGGATTCATAGTTGATAAATAAGATGTTTTACCGTTTATAAGGTCGTGTAAGTACTTATCTCTATGTTTTAATTGTCAAAGCTGGTGCTTGTGTTACTTTAATATCGATATATACGGTTGGTTCATTCCGTACATCATTGAATAACTTGTCTATTGTTTCCATCTTTGGGTCAGATACAATTTTTATGTCATATCCAGATTGTGGTAGTCTCTGTTCTCAGGCCATTCCTCCCCCCCCAAGCCGGTCCTAGTGTATACTGCTTCCTTTTATTCCTAGGCTAATTTTAATCTGCCCGGATTATTTTATTTCTTTGGTACTGACCAAATCTTAAGAGCATTACCTGATCCGCCACCTGGGGAGGAGCCTGATGGGAAACTAGCAAATTTGAAATGTTTAATAAAAATATAAGAAAAATGTGATTTATTATGATAGTTCCATATATCATTCAATAACTTTGGATGTATTGTTTCCATGTTTTGGGTCATAAGCAGGTGGAGGTTAGAGTTTATATAGAATTGATATATGCCAGATCTTGCCCCTTTACTAATCAATACCCATAAATTTATGTTTCAAGCCATAAGTTTTAATAATGTAAGTAGATTTTAATAGTTTTTTTTTATTTGTTAACTGAGATGATCCAATTGTCATCTTCATTTCATCCGCAATTGGGTTCTTTTCAGGTCCGCTAGCAATCTTCTCGACTAGTGATCAGGCCCTCTGGTGCTAAGCGAGGGGTAAAATGCTTTTTTTAAATGGCTGTACGGCTGTTAGTAGTAGCTGGGGGCACCGGGCTCTAGGGGGTTACTAGCGACCCAGGTGCATAATAAGGTATATACATAGGGACATCTATCAATCTATCTACATAGGGACCCCTTGGGGTAGAACCCATTGGGGTGAAAGAAAAGCGGTAAACACACCCGACGCAACACAATGCGATGTGACCTGTTGCTACTCAATCAGGTCTTGTTTTGGTGGGGTTTGCACATATATTCGACATCAAGCGCATGCCATGGAGAATCAAACAGCGTGTATCACAAATCAGTATCACACAATAAATTCTTAGTTAAATTTGATGAATAAAACAGTGTAATAAATTCTTAGTTAAATTTTATGAACAAAACCATGCAATAAATTCTTAGTTAAATTTTACGAGCAAAACCCTGAAATAAATTCTTAGTTAAATTTTATGAACAAAACATTGTAATAAATTCTTAGTTAAATTTTATGAGCAAAACCCTGAAATAAATTCTTAGTTAAATTTTATGAACAAATCATTGTAATAAATTCTATGTTAAATTTTATGAACAAAACAGTGTAATAAATTCTTATTTAAATTTTATGACAAAACAGTGTAAAAAACTTTTTTTCTTTTTTTTTTTGCGA